GATACATGATGGCACAGGCCCTGTGAAGTGATAGTTTCTTGTGGTTTTGAATTTGAATTTTCCTAATGACTAACGAAATTGCCTTTTCCCCTTTGTGTACTAATTTACCATCTGTCTATCTTGGGCAAAACATCTGTTCAAATCATCACTTAAAAAGATATCCATTAGCAGCTAACTGGATAAAGAGAATGTGTGTGTATATACTACTCAGCCCTAAAAAAGAATAAGTCTTGGGACCTGGCACAGTGGCCTAACAGCTAAAGCCTTCATCTTGAACAAACCCAAATCCCATATGGGTACCGGTTCTAATCCCAGTGGCCCCACTTCCCATCCAGCTCCCTGCTTATGGCCTGGAAAAGCAGTAGAGGATGGATCAAAGCCTTGGGACTCTGCATGCACATGGGAGACCTGGAAGAGGCTCCTGGCTTAGGATCGGCGTACAAGTGGCCGTTGTGGTCACTTGGGGAGTGAACTATCAGGCAGAAGATCCCCCTCTCTGTCTCTCCTCCTCTCTGTATATCTAAGTTTCCAATAAAAATAAATAAAGCTTTTTTTTTAAGTAAATCTTGTCTTTTGCAACAAAACGAAACAACTGGAAACCATTCAGCCAATCTCATAGGATAAATATTATGTCTTAGAATTTTAAAAAATGTATAGGAATCAAATGGACATCTTATGATTTGATTGGTGTTTTCTGCTCTTGCTTGCACTCCTGTGGAACTGTGGTTTGGTGGTGCATTAAGCCTAAGATTACAGAGCAGACTGAAATGATGTACTTGCAAAAGTTACAGAAAAAAGAGGAAGAAATTGAGAAAGAGGAAAGGAGAGCATGATGGTTATCTTAGAATTATAGGAAGAGCAGAACTTTCTAATTTTGATGAACTCTAGCATGAAAGGGTTCATTGCAAAGGTGACTGTACTGGAAATCTGGAACCTCCAAAGAGATACAAGCATCCTGTTATGAAACACCAGGAAGCAGACAAGAGATAGGAAGGATCTTGGAGTTTCAGGACTTACGGGAAAGACAGCGACCTTCCAAGCATGCTGTTTCATTACTGCGTGCATTGGAGTGATAGGATCAGGACCCCAAGTCTACGCATTGTAAATTTCTATTGCCTGCTGTCTGCTTTGTATCAGGGGAAAGCTGCCACTTATATATTTGCTCACTGTCATGTAACTTTTGACTTTCCCATAGATACTTGCTATAAAAACTTCACTCTTATTTTGCTTAAGGCGCTTCTTTTTCATGGCAAGAGATGGCCGCCCAATTGGAAGTAAATAAAAATCATTTCACTCGTCTTGGAGTCTCGCAAGATTTTTCTCGAACTGTTACACTACTGTGTTGACATTTTTTTTTTTTCCTGCAGGATCCTTCTCTTCCTTTTAAAGATTTACTTGTTTGAAAGGCAGTTAGAGAGAGAAGGAGAGAGAGAGAGATCTTGGCTTCTGCTGATTCACTCCCCCAGTGGCTGCAATGGCCAGAGCCTGGATTATCCAAAGCCAGGAACCAGGAATTCCATCCGGGCCACCCACTTGGGTGCAGGGACCCGAAGCCTTGGGTCCTCCTCTGCTGCTTTCTCAGGCACAGAAGCAGGGCGCTGAGTACAAAGTTGGAGCAACAGGGACAGGAAACCGTACTCACATAGGATAAGGGCGCCACAGGACGCAGCTTCCCTGGGTAAGCCACAGCGCCGGCCCCCACAGATCCTTCCTTTGGTGTTCTAAGCATCTACTTTTTGGTAATACTTTTCAAATGCACTGCACTGCATCGCGTTCTCCAGTGTGCCTCCTGTGCCTCTCTACTCCAAGTCATCTTTCTGGTCAATAGAGACAGATCCTGGGCCGGTTTCTTCTCGGTCTGGCACAATGCTAAACATTGTCAACAGATGACGCAGGAGGGAAAGGGGTTCGTGGTTCAACCCGCTGCAGGTGCATGGAGCTTCTCTGCTGCCTGGCTCCTCCCTCCAACAGCTGAACCCCACCAGGCCGTTTGTCAGCAGTGCGCCCTTGTGCAGCCTTCTCTGGTGCCCTGAACCACCGACTTTCAGCAAGTTCCACTCTTGCAGCCTCCCAGCTACTTCTCGGCCACTTCTGCCCTCTCCATCAAGCTGTGAGGCCTCAGCGCAGAGGTGGAAAGGGGAGCCCCATATAGTGTGGCTCTACTGTATTCTATGACATCATATGGTATGTGCTATTACGACTTCAACTCCAGTGTTCATTGCTAGTTCTTTATATTGGAGCTTTCCTAGGCAGAGTACCAATCTTCTAGTACGGGGCTTTTAGTTTTAAGTTCTAGGGATGACTCCAATGTGTCAAAAAATCACCTGAAATTACATACAAAGCTTGGGTGGATAAAGAAATGTACAGATGTATTCAAATAACTTGTTTTGATTCAGTTTAAAAAAAATAATTCTTTTGTTAGGCATAAAGAGGAGGGAGGGAGGGATGAAGGAGGATAGAGACACACAGAGAGAGAGAGAGTCTCAGAGAGCACCAGAGAACAAGGAACAAGGAGCTGTCATTTGTTGTTGACTTGCTCCCCCAGTGCCCACGATAGCCAGGGCTTGGTAAAGGCTGAGCTTGGGGGCCAGGAACGCAACCCAGTCTCCTACAGGGCCATCGCACACGGCTGCCTCCCACAGTCCATGTTAGCAGCCAGGAATCAAGCCAGGCCCTCTGATGTGTCCCAGGCACTCCCCACTGCTTCATCGTTTAGCCACCAGACTCAACAGTTCAGGCACAGAGCCTGGGAACAGCCCGCTCAGGTTGGCCACTAGGACTGTGCTAACTTACTGTGCTAACCTCCGTGTGCCTTACCTTCCTTGCCTGTAAAACACTTCCTCACTGTCCTGTCACGGTGACTAAGAGAGCTAAGGTTTACACAGCACCTGGCACATCAACGACTTAAGTGCTGCTGTCATTGTCATCTCTGGCTGGACAAACATCACCTGCTGTTCCACCAAGCCCTGCTCTCCCTGATGCTGAGCCCTCCTGTGGCCCCTTTTTTCTTTTTTTTAAGCTTTATTTTTATTGAAAAGGCAGATTTACAGAGAGAAGGAAAGACAGAGAGAAACATCTTCCATCTGCTGGTTCACTCCCCAAATGGCCGCAACAGCTGGAGCTGAGCCAATCCGAAGCCAGGAGCCAGGAGCCAGGAGCTTCTTCTGAGTTTCCCGTGCAGATACAGGGTCCCAAAACCTTGAACTATCCTCTGCTACTTTCTCAGGCCATTTTCCATCTGGAAATGGAGCAGTTGAGACACATACTGGTACCTATTTGAGATTCTGGTGCCACAGGGTGGAAAGTTGGCCTGCTGCATCAGCTTCTCAAATTGCTTCTTTGCTCAGGGCACTCTTGCCTGCATCTTTCATGCCCATTAAAGTCTGACCTTGCCTCTGGCCTCAGTACAACTATAATTTTCTGATCGCTAGACCATGACAGACCTCCCTGGTATAAGCTGACAAACCTTCCTGTTTTGCTCTCTCATCAGGATTTATTCACAGTGGTCTCTTGGTTAAGATCTATCTTGAGGGGGATAAGTATTGTGCCGTGTGTTAAGCCACTGCCTGCAGCGCTGGCATTCCATGTTCAAATCCTGGCTGTTCCACTTCCAATCTAGCGCCTTGCTAATTGCTAATTACACCTGAGAAAGCAACAGAAAGCGCTTGGGCCCTGCACTCATAAAGGAGACCTGGAAGAAGCTCCTGGCTTCTGTCTTCAGTCTGGCCTAGCCATTTTGGGGAGCGAACCAGCTGTTGGTATTCTCTCTCTCTTCTCTGTTGCCCCATCCCCCTATACTCCGCCTTCCAAATAAATAAATCTTGAAAAGTCTTCCCTGAGAGCTAGTATCTGTCTAGCTTCACACTGGACTCCAGCACCTTGCACACTGCAGGAAAGGCAGAAACACGAGTCCCTGAACTAAGGATGTTGGTCAAGTTGTCAAGTCCTAGATAAAGTGTAGGCAACACAACCAGAGGAGTATGTCAAAAGCTGATGACTACTAGATTAGCTCCTGTACAACAACGGGGATTTCTATCATACAAAGGAAACCTTCATGGCTCGAAAACGCACTGATTCCGAGTACCCGTGGAACATTCCATCCAATGGAAGAGTTATGCAAAAAGTCACCCCAAGATTTGCAGGGCTCGTTCTGGGACTCACAGCCAGGTGTTCAGCTAAAACGTCCTGCCCAGGCCTCCCCAGGACACGGGCCTCAGGTGAGAGAAATTTTCTTGTGTCCAGAGAACGTATTCATGGCTTTAATTCATGACAGGATGAAATACTTTGGTGAAGTGACAAAAAACAAAACAAAACAAAACAAAACAAAAAAACCAAAAAAACAAAAAACAAAACAAACGGAGCAACCTGAGCAACGCACCGCTATCCTGGGATTTAGTGTCAGTGACCCAAGTCACGAGGAAAACTGTAGGCAGCACTGTGGATCAGCCATCAATCAGCAGGAACATGATGGCAGCGACCATCATAATTCACAACACACGTCACAGAGGGCATCTCCTGGGAAATGTCCTCAAGGATCGCTGCCTCTCCATTGGACAGAGGAATTCGGGGTGCGGAAGGGTCCCCCCTCGTGGGCACGTCACCAACCGCCAGACTCCCAACGGCTCCCCTCCCGGGCCGTCGACCCCAGAACACTGCCCAGATGCGGCTATCTCCAGCAGAAACAATTCGGTAACTGCCTGGTGAGGATGGATGGGGAAAACCGATGTGGGAACTGCACTTGGGCCCCTGGAGATGGACCCCCCAGAGGGAGACGTCACCACAGGCTGGGGGAGCGAGCGCTGGCGTAGTGACCACACACCCTCGTCTGGACACGAGTTCTGGATGTCCGGCGGTGCACGACTCGGTTCTCACTGCCAAGGGACTGTAGTCCCTCCGGCCGAGCTGTGGACTACATTTCCCATAGGGCATCGCTCTCGGCGGTGCTATTTGCATAGGGGCGTGGTCGGGCGGAGAAGCCACAGTCGGCTGCGCCGGTCAGGGTATCTGTCTGCTGAAGCCGCTGCCCGCGGAGATGGTGGCTCTTCTGCTCCTGCTCTTCCTGGTCCCCTTTCTCCTGTACGTGGCTGCGCCCCAGATCAGGTCTGTGCAAAGGCATTGCTTTCTCCTGACAAACCTCTAAAGGACATGAATTCTTGCGTCTTTATTTTTTCCTCTCGAATGGAGGAGGAAGGAAAGCTCCCTTGGGGGGCTCCCAAGATGGCGAGGCCCCGGAGTTCGGTGGGTTAAAAGCAAAATGTAGCTCTCCTGGATGCGAGGAGGCTGGGTCCTTGGACCTGCGTCTGCAGGAGGGGGCTGCAGCCCAAGACATTCTGCTTATGCTGCTCCTGATCCCCCTTTTCATTCTCCGATGATTCCCTCCCCCCAAAATATGTATTTACTAGGGAAGCATAGCTCTTCCGTTCACTGCTTCATTCTCCCAAATGCAGCTGCAACCAGGGCTATGCCGAGCCGGGAACTCTCTCCGGGGTTCCCACGTGGGTGGCAGGGACCCAAGCCCCCAGAGCCCCCATCCACCTGCTGCCTCACAGCGTGTGCTCTGGCGGGAAGCTGGGGTCGGGTGGGAGCCAGACTCGAACCCAAGCACTCTGATATGGGGTTTGAGTGTCTTAAACGCCGAGTCCGAGCCTCCACCGGTCGTGGCTCCAAACCAACCCTTACACCCGTCTTTTTTTTTTTTTTTTTTTTAACGTGTTAGCACCTTCTGCTTCTTGTTCCTGGGAGCCCATAGTGAGATGATCTCAAAACACGGGGGTCTGCAGCTTTGCGAATTTCCTGGAGGGACACGTGGGTCCCTGCACTGTTTTCTCTGTAAGCCCGACGCCCTCGACCTGAGCGACTTCCAGTTCTTGCTCTCACATTGCTGTTGCATTTGCATCGATGTAGAAAAGGGGAAAGTGTTTAGGAGCCTGTTTTGGCTTTGCAGCCAGAGCAAGGCAGATCTGAGCTGTACCTGGACGCGAGGAGGAGGGCAGCCGAGGGCAGCGGGGTGGGTTGGTGGGGTCTCCCGAGAAGGCTGACCCTCTGCTGGGTGGCCAGCTGTACAGCCAGCAGCCGGTTTGGCTGATTGGCTCCGGGGAAGTCACCAGGAATGACGATGGACCAGTGACCGGAGGGACCTGCAGGCCTTGCCCATGGGGGTGGGGTCAGAGTTCGCTGGGGAACATATAGCCTGGCTGGATCATGGCTGGATCCGTCATTTCTTGTTACTCCCTTCACTCCTTCTGCTGTTTTTATTTTTCCTTCTTTTTCCCTGGCACCCCCCTTTCCAGGAGTATTTGCTTCCCAAATACTCACACCACTCTCACTTCCAGGCACACAGCGGTGCTGCCACTCAGATGAAAACCCTGATTTTTATCTCTGCCATAAAAGTCTTATCGGGTGAACATCAGCCTCATCTGAAAATAGTGCTCCTAACTCAGAGTGACTCTACCGAGAAGGGTTATTTCCAGGGGCTGTGTCCCAGGGGCTAAGCTGGGTCACGAGGGCCCCCCAGAACTGGGCTGTGTGATTGACTCTCTCTGTCTCTCATTCCTGCTGGTCACAAGGAGTGCATGCACAGGTCTGTCTGTGTTGTGGGTCCTGGAGCTAAAGCCAAAGGGATGTAAGGGCAGAACTGGGAGGAGGGGTGTCGCTGAGGTGGGTGGGCACTGTGAGCCTGTTTGCATGAAACAGGTGGCTTCCATGGCTAATGAAAAGAGACTGAAATGCTTTTTGTCCAAATCGCATCTCCTGGCCCGAGATCGCAGAGCAGAGGATGGTCTGAAGACAGCTCGTGTGTACGAGGGAGTCTTCAAAAAAGTCTGTGGAAATGTGTCTTAGCTGGTTTCCAGATGTTTCTGCACCAATACATGAAAATTGTTTTACTTTCATTTTCCCATGAACTTTTTTCCTTAAAGCAGGTCCTTTTTTTTTAAGTTTATTGCATGTATTTGAAAGAGAGAAGAAAAGACTGAGAGAAAGGGCTCTCCCATCCTCTGGTTCACTTCCCAACCAGCTGTGACCTGGCAGGAACTCCATCTGGGTCTCCCACACGAGTGACCGAGGCACCCATACTTGGGCCATCTGCTGCTGCTTTGCCAGCTGCGTTACCTGGAAGCTGGGTCGGAAGTGGAGCAGCAAGGATTTGAGCCAGCACTTAGATGTGGGATTTTGATGTTTTAAGTGGCTGTGCACCTGCTGTGCTGCAGCACCAGCCCTCCGTGGATGGTTTGAAGTACCCTCACATCCGTGCATTTGTTCACTTGGATCAGCAGCGTGGTATGGACAGTGCTTCGCAACAGGGGCTAACTAGGCAAATCGGGCCTTGAGTTCCAGGTCCCCTTTGTCTTATTTTTTAAATATTTATTTGAGGAGGAGGGAGAAAGATATTGGTTCCCTCTCACCAAATGCCTGCAGTGACTAAGGATGGCGGGGGCGAGGCTGGGAACTTGGTCCAGGTCTCAATTTCTTTAACCATTACCGTAGTCTCCCAGGGTGCACAGGGGCAGAAGGCTGGAGTCAGGAGCCCGAGGCAAGAATCAAACCCAGGCTCTCTGTGATATTGACATAACCTCTGGGCTAAACACTTGCTTCATCTTATTTTCAAACATTGGGGGGGATGGGCAGGGAGGGAGAAAGGTGAGTGTCTTGTTTTGTCCCAGATTCGTAAGCCTTCTTAATTTCTAGTTGATGGCTTGCATTAGTATTTCTCAAAGCTCTACATGCCAATTGTGTGGGCAGGCTGACGTGCCTCAGCCCGTTCTGCTTAGCTGAGTCTCATGATTCCCTAAGCCAAAGTGCCTTATGGGGAGCTCAGAAGCAAAGTCAGGTGCCTGCAGAATGAAACAGTACCGCATGGAGGGGCTCTGAGCTTTGCTTTTTTTCCACCGAGTTAGTTCTGTTTTTGAGCCAAGAACGGAAACTCGTTTCATTTTCTCCCACCTTGTATCCACTTTTTTAAAAAATAATAAAGGACTGCAGTGGAGGAACTAAAGCAGACTTCATCTTTGGGAGCCGAAGACACATGGAGTTAATGGAAGCCCCAGCTGAGTTTGGTCTTGAGGAACTGCTGTGTTCTCTGTCCACAGAAAGATGCTATCCAGTGGGGTGTGTACCTCCAGTACCCAGCTTCCTGGGAAGGTCGTGGTGATCACGGGAGCCAACACGGGCATTGGCAAGGAGACAGCCAAAGACCTGGCACAGAGAGGCAAGTTCTGGACTTTTTTTTTTTTTTTTTTCTAATTGGAAAGGCAGATTTACAGAGAGAAAGATCTTCCATCCACTGGTTCACTCCTCAATTGTCTGCAGTGGCTGCAGCTGAGCCGATCTGAAGCCAAGAGCCAGGAGCTTCTTTTGGGTCTCCCTGCATGGGTTTGGGGAACCCAATGATTTGAGCCATCCTTTGCTGCTTTCCCAGGCCATAAGCAAGAAGCTGGATTAGAATTGGAACAGCCAGGACATGAACTGGCACCATATGAATGCCAACACTGGCAGGTGGAGGTGCTTAGCCTGTTGAGCCATGATGACAACCCCAAGTTCATGTGCTTCTGATTTGGTCCTGCCAGTGTCATGTTACCCTTCATGGTCATGGCTTTTCTGTTTCTCCCCAGTCTGAGACTGCATGAATTCTCCAACTGTTGCATTGATTTGCTGCTCTGGTCCTAATACACCGATGTGCATATGATTGTCATGTAGTAACTATTACTTCTTATTCTTTCCCGATTTGCCCAAGTAGATAGATACCTGTAGGGTAAATATGTAGGGGTTAAAAAAAAAGTAGGAAATACTATTCAGTGTGAATCTTTCATAAAAATCAAAAACAGAGCTGACAGTTTCTGTCTTTGGAATGTTGGTTCCAGGAGCCCGTGTGTACTTAGCTTGCCGGGATGTGCAGAAGGGGGAATTGGTAGCCAAAGAGATCCAAAATACCACGGGGAACCCGCAGGTGTTGGTGCGGAAGCTGGACCTGGCCGATACCAAGTCGGTTCGAGCCTTTGCCGAGAACTTCCTAGCAGGTGAGTGTGGAACCGGAGTTTGTTGTTGAGTTTTGGGATCAGTGTGGCAGAGACTTAGCTAAAAGGAAAAAATTCCCCTTTTCTACTAATACGTAGAAATGACGAATAAAATATGAATACTTTTAAGACATAGCTGAATTCACTGCGGCCACTGGGACATGACCTATGCCAACGGCACATCCTCCTGAGACAGAAACGGGGTTTGAAAAGCCATTGCAGTGCACCCAGGTCTGGACCTAAACAAGCATATCCGGGTAGAAAGAGAGGCCTTGAGGCCCTGGAGGACCGGGTCTGAATGCATCCGAGGCCTCATGTGAGAGACACTGACCAGGAGCCATCTGCTCCTGCTCTATGGTAGAAGAGCTAAACAATAAGCCCCTGGTCACTAGCTGAGGAATGTGACATAGCTCACAGGACAGACACAGATGTTATCACCACAAAATTAGTACCCATCATGACATCAGGTATGGTGTCTGAGTTTATATCCCCACGTAGTATGAGGATCTCTTCCATTTTTTTCTTTTTAATCAGTTTTTCAAATATTTATTTACTTTTACTGCAAAGTCAGATATACAGAGAGGAGGAGACACAGAGAGGAGGATCTTCCATCTGTTGATTGATTGCCCCACTGGTCGCAATGGCTGGAGCTGAGCTGATCTAAAGGCAGGAGCCAGGAGCTTCTTCTGGGTCTCCCACATGGGTGCAGGGTCTCAAGGCTTTGAACCGTCCTCGACTGCTTTCCCAGGCCACATGCAGCTAGCTGGATTAGAACCAGCACCCATATGGGATCCTGGCCCATACAAGGCGAGAATTTTACCTGCTAAGCCACCACACTGGGCGATTTCATCTTTGATGGAAGAATTTGGAAATGAGAAGTTAACACAAAAACCAGGAATGTTGCTTGAAAAGCAAATCATAGCACACGCTATAGGCGTATCTACTCACAACTGGAAGGTCTAGGTCTTCCAGGGAAAAATGGCTTCTACTTATAAGAGTGTAATTGACCTTGAGCCATTTGAGGCAATGAGCTGTGAGAGGTCAGTGGTTGAGCCACTTGAGGCAATGAGCCGTGAGAAGTCAGTGGATGCCAACAGAGAGGTATGGGCTTCTTTTGGGATCTGAACCCAAGAGGCGGGGTTCCAGGTGGTATGTCCTTTCTTCTCTTCTCTTGGAGTCTTCCCATGAGCTTAGGGTTTCTTTATTTCTTCTCTTTCTTCACTCCCCAAATGGCCACATCAGCCAGACCTGAGCTGGTCCAATGCCAGCTGGGTTTCCCATGTGGGTGCTGGGGCCCACATGGGCCATCCTTCACTGGTTTCCCAGGCACTTTAGAAAGGACCTGGATCGGAAGTTGAACAACTAGGACTTGAACCAGTGTCTACTGGCACTGCAGGCAATGGCTTTACCTGCTATTGTATAGATTGGAGAGACCATTTGATAACTGAAAATGAGCTTTTATAGTAAAAGTATACAGGATTTGGGCGTGGTGCAATAAGCTAGTGGCTAAATCCTCACCTTGCCTGTACTGGGATGCCATATCGGTGCCGGTTTATGTCCTGGCTGTCCCACTTCCCATCCAGCTCCCTGCTTGTGGCCTGGGAAATCAGTGGAGGACGGCCCAAAGCCTTGGGACCCTGCACCCACGCGAGAGACCCGGAGGAAGCTCCTGGCTTTGGATCAGCTTGGCTCTGGCCATTGTGGCCACTTGAGGAGTGAATCAGTGGATGGGAGATCCTTCTCTTCATCTCACTTTCTCTCTAGTATATCTGCCTTTCCTATAAAAATAAGTAAATCTTTAAAAAAAAAAAAGAAGGAAGTATATAGGATTCAACTTAGGTCTCATAATGGGAAACTCAAGAAGATAAGGTAAGGGGGGAGGGTTTGAAAGAAAGATTGAAGTCCTGCTCCCACCTACCCCGGCTTGGGGGTGGGGGAGGTTTCTACATTGGGACCGCTGACCTGGCTGTGTCCGACTCTTCCCCGGCAGAGGAGAAGAAGCTGCACATTCTGATCAACAATGCAGGAGTGATGATGTGTCCCTACTCCAAGACAGCAGATGGCTTTGAGATGCACATGGGCGTCAACCACTTGGGTGAGTAAACTGGTGCCATCCCAAAGCCAGAGTGGACCTGAAGTTCTCCTTGGGAAAGTTAGGGGTCACAAGGAGCCTTCCTTCCTGAGCAATTGGACCTCAGGCCCGTAATAAGACCCTGTGGGAATGGACAACAAATAGTTTGGTGTTGCCTAAAAGAGAAGAAATTAAACAAGGCCTTCTCCGGGTCCTGGTCATTTTAAAATGGTGATTTTAAAATGGCCAAGAAGTGGGAACTCAGTCCTGGTCTCTGATGTGGGGAGAGGGGCCCAACTGCTTGAATCATCACCTGCTATTTCCCAAGGTCTCCATTCACAGGAAGTTACAATTGGAAGCTGAGACCACGAGTGAAACCCAAGCACTTTTTGTGTTAACAGACTACATGTGTCCTTGGGCTATTTTTTTTTAAGATTTATTTATTTTTATTACAAAGTCAGATATACAGAGAGGAGGAGAGACAGAGAGGAAGATCTTCTGTCTGATGATTCCACTCCCCAAGTGACGACAACGGCTGGTGCTGCACCATTCCAAAGCCAGGATCAAAGAACCTCCTCCAGGTCTCCTCCAGGGATCCCAAGGCTTTGGGCTGTCCTTGACTGCTTTCCCAGGCCACAAGCAGTGAGCTGGATGGGAAGTGGGGCTGCTAGGATTAGAAGTGGTGCCCATATGGGATCCTGGCGCGTTCAAGGTGAGGACTTTAGCTGCTAGGCCACTGCACCAGGCCCGACCTGGAACTATTTCAAACAGTCTTTCCAACTTGCTACCTGGGGTGCTTTTCTCCATAGTGATGCTGTGGCCAGCCACAGTTAGAGTGATGTTAGTGATGTTAACCAATAGCGGAATAAGATAAAGCTCCACGCTTGCACGGTCCCGACCTGCCGTGTAGAATGTCTTTCTCATGCTTTGGGCTGGTCCCGTTTTCGTGAACCCTCACTGAACTGATTCTCTAGTAGATAGTGAAAAGTTGGAGTTATAAGACCTTCTTCCTGAGTTCTGTCCCCCTTGGCTCAGCCCTGTTGCCCAGTACTCCTAACAGCCCCCTCTGATCCTGACCTCTTAATTCTGCTTGCTGTCCACAGGTCACTTCCTGCTCACTCATCTGCTCTTAGGGACACTAAAGGAGTCAGCCCCATCCAGGGTCATCAATGTGTCCTCCTTGGCACACCACCTGGGAAGGATCTACTTCCATAACCTGCAGGGCGAGAAGTTCTACAGTGCGGGTCTGGCCTATTGTCACAGCAAGCTAGCCAACATTCTCTTCACACGGGAGCTGGCCCGGAGGCTGAAAGGTGGGCTCAGGGGCTGGTATGGGCGTGCAGACTGGGAGTGGGACAGTGGGTGAGAGTAAAAAGCCATACAAGTGGAAACTCTTTGCAGAGCCCCCCCCCCCCCCGTGGGACAGGGCCTGCTCCCATAGCAGTTAGAGGGTACAGTTTGTTTTATTTGAAAGAGTCACAGAGAGAAAGAGACAGATTTTCCATCTGCTGGTTCACTCCCCAGGTGGCCATAATGGCCAGAACTGAGCTTATGGAAATGACACCATCACAGCCATTAAGATTAAACCTTGGAATTGTGTAGTGGGAGATCTACCAGCTGCAAGGGACTAGCTGGAGGAAACTGTATGAGAAGAGAGCCTGGGGCCTGCATGTCACCTGCTCTGGGTTTCCAGTGAAGAGAAGAGAAATCTAAGTTGGGCAATGCTTAGGGCTTGCGTAGGCAGCATGGATGCTCAAGGAATCGGGCACAGGAGACCCTACTGTTGGAAAAAAGGACCAGGAAGGAAGCTGGTGCTCAGCTTGGCCGATAAGGTCTGTGTCTGCAGTGAGTCCATCTTCTATCAGCTCAGGGCAGACAATGGTCACCGGATGGCGCAGCCCCGTGAGGGGACTGGGTCCCTCTAGAGGTGGAAAGGCGAATCAGAGCAGGTGGGCAGAAGCCAGGTAAGCCTGACAGCTGTGAGCCTGGGGTGCTGGGTAAGAACCCCGGCATGGCAGAGGGCTCAGCAGGCATGCGTTCAGCGTCCATGCTGTGCTGGTCCACATGCTGGGTGAGAGCATTGGCAATGAACTGGTGGACAGGACAGGTACCTTCCTTGATTTGGTGTACTTTAACTGGCAACTTGTGTTTGCAAGTGTCACATGTAAAATCAGTCATGTAGAAAGCTCAAACAGTATGAAAATAGAGCGACAGGTAAAACCCTTTCCCTTCATCTATTCTCCTTTTCCCCTTCCACTTTTTTTCCCCACTGTCAACAGCTTCTTGTGCCCCTTCCCATTCATTTCCCTATGCATTTATATCTGTGTTTCACACATGGAGAAACTGCAGTTCTAGCTTTCCCACATAATACATGCGGAGTTAACCATTCTTCTTGTCCGCCTTGTTGGCTGGATCATATTTCATAGTAATATGATCCTCAGTTTATCCATTGAAATGTTTTCTTTTTTGAGATTTATTTTTATTTGAAAGGCAGATTTTATGGAGTGGAGAAACGAAGAGAGAAATCTTCCATCTACTGCTTCACTCTCCAAATGGCTGCAACAGCCAGAGCTGATCTGATCCAAAGCCAGGAGCCAGGATCTTCTTGTGGGTCTCCCATGTGGGTACAGGATCCCAAGGACTTGGGCCATCCTCCATTAACCTCCCAGGTCACAAGCAAACAGCTAGATCAAAAATGAAGCAATTGGGACACGAGCCAGTGCCCACATGGGATGCCAGTGCCACTCGGTGGAAGATTAGCCCATTGAGTTACTGTGCTGGCCTCAAGCACTGTACATTCATAGAAAGAGGTGTTTATGCTGAGTCATGTGAGCCCCAACATTTAAAGTTTGGATAGAGAGGCAGGCATTTAGTGCAGTGGTTAAGTCTCTGCTTGGGTTGACCACTTCCCATAGCCGAGTGCCCAGTTGGAGTCCCAGCTGCTCTGCTTGCAATCCAGCTTCCAGCTGATTGCAGGAACCTGGGTTCCTGCCAGCCATGTAGGAGACTGAGAGAGTGAATTCTGGGCTCCTGACTTTGACCTGCCCGGACCTGGCTGTTGGCAGGCACATCAAGCAGTGAATGGAAGACTTCTTTCAGCCTTTCAGATTAGATGAAAATGAACCTCTCTCCTCCTCTCTCTTTATATATAATACATATGTGTTCAATATTTGGATAGACAATAATGAACTGTTCCAAGAGGCAGACAAAGCATCCAAAAGAGCTAGGAGAACTAGAGAGGGGTGTGGATGTTATGGAAACCACCGAAGCTTAGCAGCCTTTAGGAGCGGAGCTGCGGAAGGAGCTGCTGGGAGGCGTATCCGCCCACAGCCTCTGCAGGCTCTGAGACTGCTGCAGCCCAGATGTAGGTGGCTGGGCGCAGTGCTTAGCATGTTACCCCAGGCAGGTGTCAGGTGTTTGTTCTGTCTGGCTGTTGAGCAAACATCAAGTCCTGTCATCCCCTCTCTCTGTCCCCGCTCCCCACCAGGCTCTGGCGTGACGGCGTATTCCGTGCACCCCGGCACGGTCAACTCGGAGCTGATTCGCCACTCGGCGGCCATGAGATGCATGTGGCGGCTTTTCTCCTTCTTCATCAAGACCCCCCAGCAGGGAGCCCAGACCAGTCTGTACTGCGCCCTAACAGAAGGGCTCGAGAGTCTCAACGGCAATCATTTCAGGTAGGAACGTTGTCTGCGTTATTGTGGACAGACAGACAGAAAGGTCTTCCATTCACTGATTCACTTCCTGAAATGGCCGCGACGGCCAGAGCTGAGCAGATCCAAAGTCAGGAGCCAGGAGCAACTGTTTCTCATCATAAAGGCTGATTTAGCCCTAGAGATTGGCTATAATGCGTATAGTCTCCACATGATGTTAATTTGGCTTGCACGATCATTTGATCGCGTACCCATTTCCCATTTATCTTTTCTGACACACTGGCCCTGTGAAGCCGTGGGATCCCTGGGTGGGATCCCCAGCCCCAGAGCAGACTCTTGCCCCTCAGCCCTGTCTCTTTCCCTTGCAGCGACTGCCAAGTGGCCTGGGTCTCAGCCCAGGCTCGGAATGAGACGATAGCAAGGCGGCTGTGGGACGTCAGCTGTGAGCTGCTGGGCCTCCCCACTGAGTGACAGGTGAGACAAATGCATCCGGGGAAGACTGCAAGTAGACTGCGTGCAGCGCCCCCTGCCGAGCCGATTCCCCTCCAAGGCGACCAAAGCCTTGAACACAGAGCGAGCAAAGCTTCCGCAGCCTTCCCTGCTCAGTGACCACTTCAAACCCAAACGCACCCGAGCTGAGCCTTGCACCCGGAGGGCCCCTGCGCAGCCTGGGCTGAACACCACATGTCGCAGTGACTCGGCTGCAGAACACGGCTCTTCCCTCATTCTCTTCAGCTGTCCCTGCACCTGTGCCTGGATTCTTTGCGGACCCTCAGCCTCATCTAGATTATGACATGACCTTGTCTGCGACAGCCTAAAGCCCCCGCGGTGAGGACGTGTCTTCCAGTCTCATCTCAGAGGCGCTTCCTTTTTCTAAAACGTTTACAGGGCTAGGCAAAAGGCAGAAAATTAAATGAAGTTCAAACTCATCTTCCTGCCTTTCTCAGATCCGTTCTGGGGCACTGGAGAAGGCAGGCCGCCGAGCCAGTCCACAGATGGTGGCCTTCTTTTTGTGCCTTAGTGTCAGGGGTTTTTTTGGGGGGGGGGAGGTTCTTGTCATTGTGTGTATATTTGCATGTTTTCTTGTGTTTTTTTATGCGACTGGTAATATATTCAGAGGATTTTTAAAAAGCTACCACAAAGGAACAGCATGAAACGCAGGCTCTGCGTGGATAAGTGGTCAGTGATGGAGGGCTGATGTACAGGAACCAGTCAAAGAGGGGAAATGGCTCTGTACTCAGAGATGTGGGTCACCACCCACCCAGAAGTGCAGGGAAGGCAGCCCCCAGGTCCTCTGTGGGAAGTAACACCTGCAAAGCAGGGGCTGGGTAACCATGGAAACAGATGACCAGCAAGGCTGAGGAGGCTGTTTGTGGGTCACAGATGGAAACTAAAACTCCATTTCCTCTCTGAGAAAAAAAAAAAAAAGTATCTTCATGCCTCGGACTGGTCACTGCAGTCAGTCTAATAGAACCTTCCAGGGCATTCGCTTTCAGTTTATCTGGACAAGAGAAATGCTTTATGTGTTTAAATTTCTATATTTTATTTGGGGAACTTTTATTAAAACAGTAACATTGCTTATCTCCTGTTTGGAGTGCATTGTTCTAATTAGAGTTTGATTTTCTTGGGCTAAGAACTTATTTTAACTTAGGTAAGGAAAAAAGTTCTGCCATCACTTCTCCTCCGTGTAAGTAAACATGAATCTTTGGCTGTACTTCTTTTGACCATTAAGCATGTATATATTTAGAAACTGGTCATTTTATGGGAAAATTGGAAAACTTTTGATAGTGTTAGAGCAGAATACATGAATTCATATTTTACTTAATTTATATTGAATATTCAATAACAAATAAAAATTCTTTTCAGTCATTTGTCATTTTTTTTTATCAGAATAACAAACATAAGCAACACAGGTTTAATTGTAGTCAAAAGAAGAAAAACACTTTGCTATCATAGTTAGGCAACTGGTTCTCTTATAAAGGCTGATTTAGCCTCGGAGTCTATAGTGCATATAGTCTCCACATGATGTTAATTTAGCTTGTGCGATAATTCGATCACGTGCCCATTTCCCACTCAGCTTTTCCAACTCAGTTGAAAGATGATTTTTTCCAAACTTCTCGACCAGTTTTGTACTGAGCCCTTACCCTGATACCACGCCGAATCCCGGTGCCTTGCAGTGTCACCCTGGGGGTTATGAGCTCATTACATTTGTTGAAATAATCCTGAAATCTGACAGAAATACAACCAATGCAAAGGAGATAGGACCAGCCGTCCTTTTTCCTCTTAACATTCATGATCTTCCAAAAAGCGCATTCAGACTAGGCTCCCAAGCAAACGAGAGCAGTCAAACCCCGAAATCTGTTAAAATGAATTTATAAGCAGGACCCCCTGCTTTTGTGTCAGCACCTCTCACCTGGTGGTCAAAGAGACATGTTGACGTTCCCAACAAACGGTCAATGCTGCACAATGCTACACGTGTTAACACGCGTGGTGAACGCACGCACAAACAAGGCAGCCTCGTCCACCAGGTGGACCCAGGCTGGAGACCAAGAGCTCCTAGTTGGGGGTCAACTCCCTGGGTTTATGACCTAGCTACCTGACGTCCCCAAAGTTCTCTTACAACCCTGGGGAAGCCACCCCTGGTTGAGGACTCTAAAAGAGGAATTCAAGGGAATACAGAAGCATGCCGCGACGGTCAGCCCCACACAGTCAGCAGATCTCAAACCGCTGGGCAACACAGCCCAAGGACGCCAGCTGAACCACCCGCTCCCGTCTACACGTGACGTCCTAGCAGCCGCCGCGCCGAACTACAACTCCCGGCATGCTTTGCGGCGCCGTCCCTGGCTGTTGGGGGCCGGCAAGGAGGCGGCCAAGCTGCCCTTCCCACGAGCCCGTCGGGTCCTTCCGCTTGACAACTTCTCGAAGAGCTAGGCGGACATTCTGAGTGCTGTGGGAATGTCACTATCTCTTGTGCGGCTGCCTCTCCCTCCAGGACGTGCCAGGCAGCGAACCCCTGTCGATTTTCCGTCAGGCTTTCGCGCGCGGCGCTCCCACAGCGTTGGGCCGGAGGGCGTGGACGTTCCGGCCCGGGAGGACCCCGCCGCGGGCCCCGGAAGCCGCCTGGGCCGGGGCGGCGGGCGCCGCGATGGCCGTGGGGCTGGGCGGCTGACAGCCGGCCTAGGAGCCGACTCGGAGCCCGGCGGCTCGGCGGCCGCGGCCGTGGCACTGCCGCCGCGATGGCCACGTCCGCCGCTTCCTCGGAGCACTTCGAGAAGTTACACGAGATCTTCCGGGGCCTCCATGAAGACCTCGTAGGGGTGCCCGGGCGGCTGCTGGGGACCGCAGGGACGGGTGAGGCAGGGGCGGGACGGACTGGGGGCAGAGTCGCCCCGTGCGCGTGAGGAAGGGAAAGCCAAAGCAACCACCCCAAAGCCCCTCCGCCTCCTCGGGCGTCGCCACTCCTGCTGACACGCCGCGGGTGGACGGGTGGACGGGTGGGCGGGTGGGCGCCCGGGCTCGTCCCTGCTCTCATCTCTGCTTGCTCTTGTACCTTAAACCTGTGGTCCTGTGTTCCGGGGGATGGGCTTGTTTCGTAGCTGTCTGTGCTTTTACGCACTTCAAGGCAGGCATGGCTCTCAAGAGGGACCCCTCGTTTCCACCTGTCGTGACGAGAGGGTCCGTGGCACCAAAAAAACGGGGGGTTCAGGAGTCGTGGCTCTGGGGGGATTGGGACGTAAGGGGTTGGATGGGAGTTTGCCCAAGGGAGGAGAAAGGGGAAGAAGACGCAGCTGAGAGGGCAGAAGTGAATCCTCGCAGCTGTGTGTCGCTGGGGGTGGCGGGAGGCAGAACGCGAAGGGAGCGGAATGTCACCCCAACATGTCTGTCTGCACGTGATGTGGAGAGATGCGGTTTCAGCAGCAGATTTTATTTTATTTTTAAAGAGATTTATTCATTGATCTTATTGGAAGGGCAGATATACAGAGAGAGAGAGATCTTCCACCCACTGGTCCACTCCTCACGTGGCCACAGTGCCCGAGCTGAGCCCATCCGAGGAGCCAGGAGCTTCTGGGTCTTCTAGTCTTCGCTGGTGGGAACTTTAGCTACTAGGCCACCACGCTGGGCCCGGATTTTACTTTAGAAGGTTGTTGGGGGCTTGGGTAGAGGAGGAGAGGCAGGGGAAGGTGGGGCCGGGCCGGGAGCCCTGCTGTCCAGCTGGTGACAAGGGAGTCTGGAGGGTTCCAATCCCGCCGGAGGTGGTTCTGGGGCGGGGTCTGCCCTGTGGGATGTGGTTCATTAATTTTGACAAAGTAAAATGAGATGTTACCAGGGGAGATGAAAATAAAGGGGTATATAGTAACTGCTTGCAGAACTATCTCACGACTTTCCTTTTGTATGTTTAAAAAAATTCCTGGGCCCGGTGCCGTGGCCTAGTGGCTGAAGTCCTCCCCTTGAACACGCCCGAGATCCCATTTGGGTGCCGGTTCTAATCCTGGCAGTCCTGTTTCCCATCCAGCTCCCTGCTTGTGGCCTGGGAAAGCAGTCGAGGACGGTCCAATGCTTTGGGACCCTGCACCCGCGTGGGAGACCCAGACCCAGAAAGAAGCTTCTGGCTCCTGGCTCCGGATGGGCACAGCACCGGCCGTTGTGGTCATTTGGGGAGTGAATCATTGGACGGAAGATCTTCCTCTCTGTCTCTCCTCCCCTCTGTATATCTGACTTTGTAATAAAAATAAATAAATCCTTAAAAAAAAAAAAATCCCAGGTGGGTGGCTGAAACAAACTAAAAACAGTTTCTAGGTGCCAGCAGTGCAGGGCTAAGCCATCACCGGCAACACTGGCACTTAGCACTGCTGTTGCACTTTTAAAAAAATTATTTATTTGAAAGTCAGATTTATAGAGAGAAACAGAAAGATCTTCCCATCCACTGATTCACTCCCCAAGTGGCTACAGCAGCTAGAATGAGCTGATCCGAAGCCAGGAGCCAGGTAGGAGCCTCCTCCAGGTCTCCCACGTGGGTGCAGGGTCCCAAGGCTTTGGGCTGTCCTCGACTGCTTCCCCAGGTCACAAGGAGGGAGCTGGATGGGAAGCGGGGCTGCTGGGACATGAACTAGTGCCCAGATGGGTTCCAGGTGCCTGCAAAGTGAGGACTTTAACCACTAGGCTACTGCGCCAGGCCCAGTGCCCTAATTTTTTAATCTAATGAATATGTGATGTTGAATCCCCGTAGTGATGGTTTCTGCTTTGGGTTTTGCAGTATGTGAACGCGTCTTTGCATTTGTCTTTCTGCGGCTCCTCCGAGGAAGCCGGACCGCCTGCCCCGGTGCGGTCCTCGGGCGGGCTGCATTGTTCCCTCCCGTGTCCAGGAGAAGGCGCCACCACCCGTGGCCTTTCCCGTCGTGGCAGGTGTCCTGTCGGCCACGCATGTGGCGTGGGAGGTCGTGGGGCGCCCCATGGCCCTTCTGGTGCCTGTGCCACCAGCGTGGAGTCCGCTGCTTTGTCGTGGGCGGGAGCCTTCTTGGCTCTCGTACTTGGCGATGAGTTGTGGCAGTTCCGAGGGCGGACTCCCGGGAGCGCAGGAGCGTGCAGCAGCACTGGGGCTGGGAGGCCTGTGGTCCAGAGCTGGCGTGGCCGTTGACGCTCCACCGCGGCCAAGGCCAGCTCTGGACGACAGGATTTAGATTTCTTAGGACAAGATGCCAAGTGGGTTGCCATCATGTGTTTTGTTCTCTGAGGGGGCGTGGGGCCGCGGCGCTCCCCGCGGGGCAGGTGTGTGTCCTGTGACAGCCAGCCGACAGCAGGGCGTCTCCAAACGTCACAAGAGCCGTGAATGACAGAACGGCACAGGGAAGCCAGTGGGAGGAGTGTTTCCAGAACTTGAAACAATAATGAAATGCCAGGTTTTTTGTTTGTTTTTGTTGTTGTTAATAAAGGAGGAGACTTGCTGAGTAAGGCCGTTTTGGAAGACTGAGCCAGGAGGAGAGTGCGTGCGTGTGTGTGAGTGTGTGTCCCCGCCGCTGCTTGGCGCTCATGGGCTCCGGTCAGCAGTGCGAGTGCTGCAGGGTGGTGTTCCAGCTCGGAGCGATGACTCCCAGCACAATGGCAAGCTCTGCCTCCTGACAGCAGGTGTGGCAGGGCCCCCAGGAACAGCCCGGCTCCATCGCTGCGCGCTCCAGTTACATCCTGGCACTTGGGATCTGCCCCATTTGCCGTAGCTGTGAGCATTCTTCCGTTTTCTTATTTCTGGTTTTTTTTTTTTTTTTAAGATTTAGTTTTTATTTTTATTGGAAAGGCAGATATGCAGAGAGAGGGAGAGACAGAAAGATCTTCCATCTGCTGGTTCACTCCCCATGTAGCCACAACAGCCAAAGCTGAGCCAATCTGAAGCCAGAAGCTAGGAGCTTCCGATGGGTCTCGCACACGGGTGCAGGGTCCCAAGGCCATTCTGTACTGCTTTCCCGGGCCACAAGCAGGGAGCTGGGACACAAACTGGTGCCCTTATGGCATCCTGGCTCATGGAAAGTGAGGATTTAGCCTCTAGGCTATCGTGCTGGACCTCTTAAATGTATATATATTTTTAAAAACATCAAAAGTAACACAGCAGCTTTTATTGTTGCTGTTTAGGGAGGCAGAGAGCGCCCATTCATGGGTTTACTCCTCAGGACAGTGGCTCAGGGCTTGGTGGGTTAGTGCTGAAGTCTGGAGCCAGGAGCGCAGTGCCGGCTCTCATGTGGCTGGCAGGAATCCTCGCTGCGGAGCCGTCATGGCTGCCCCCGGGTCTGCAGTGCCAGGAGGCCGGAGTCGGGAACTGGAGCCAGGACACAGACTCCAGTTGCTCCAGTGTGGACACGGGCTTCTCAACTGCTAGCCTGAAGTTTTATCGAGTATGAGGGCACACCAGGAATTTCATGAGCAAATTAAATTTGAAAATAATATTATTGGGAACGTTTTGAAACCTACGACTGTTTTATTTTTCATAATTTGCATTTTCCACAAGTGTTTTTGAAGTGCCCTTGGATAGAGATGTCTCACTCCCTCGTGTTCTGTCCGAGGAAGCAGGTCAGGTTCCACGGAACCGAAGGGAGTCCCAGGCTCACCCGCTGACGCCGGTGCAGAGCCGGTACCAGAACCTAAGCCTGGAACTCATCCGGGCTCCCCCGCCCCAGGCAGCTGTTGATAAGCAGCATTGCAGTACCCTCTTCGTAGTTTTTGCCATGTCCTGGTGCCATTTTTACTTTTGTCTTCTTTATAGACACTGAAACTTCCATGTAAAAAAAAGTGTATTTGGTGTAGTTATTTTGGAAGAAAACTTGGTATATTCTAAATAGAAAATATGTGTAATCTGACTAGAAAAAAATGTAACAGTGAAAGCAAACAAACACTGTTTAATAAGCTGCTCCTGCTTTGAAGCGGGGACTTCCGTTTGTTAAAGAGGGAGATTAAAGAGGGAGATTAAAGAGGGAGATGGTGCCAGGACAGGGTTCATTGTGCACGTCATTACCAGTGCTACCACCAGGGGGAGACAAGCACCACACCCGCTAGCCGCCAGGAAAGCGCCCTTGCAGGAGAGCTGTGGCAGAGGGTTAATATGCAGAAAGTGATTCCTCACACCGTGGAGGCAGAGATTCCTGAGAGTCGGTGTGGGGAAGAATTCCTGTTGATGAAATCAGGCCTGCCTCCTCAGAGCAGAATAGCAAAGGTTGGGGATGCTGAACTGGACGGCATGGTTTCTTAGGAGACTCTGTTCGCTTTTAAGACCAATCAATGATGCAGGACTTGCTCCCCAGGCATTCGGTGTGCGATGCAGTGGCTTCTCTTCCCTCCTCAGCGCCTTTAGGGGTCAGTTAGTACTGCTGCTCCCAGCAGGGCTGGAGGGGACACCTGCTCTGAGCTGAGTGAGTGGCCTTCACAAAGGAAGCTGCTGTGAGACTTGGAAACTTGTCTGTCTTTTCCAGAAGAGAAGAAGAAGCTGATCAGAGATTTCGATGAAAAGCAACAAGAAGCAAATGAAACCGTAAGAGTTCGTCCCTGTTTCCTCCTGCCTCGTATTTCTGAGTGCTGCGCTCTGTTGATCTTGATTGTAACGGTTTCTTCCTACATGAGGCCAGCGAACGGGAGTGGGTGTTGAGAAAGGGGCTGACCGACACGAGTGGGTAGTTGAGTTCCTTCCTGAAGTAGGAGTTTTGACAGCGCATGAGCAGTAAGGGCGTTCTTGGACTTTCACCTGAGGGGTCTGCTTAAATCTCTCGTCAGTAAGATGATTACTGGCTTGTTGTTGTTTTTTTAAGACACGCATTACTTTGTGATTTAAAAAATTATTTATTTGAAAGGCAGAGTGGCAGAGACATTCCATCCACTGGTTCACTCCTCAAATGGCTGCATGGCCAGGGCTGGGTCCAAGGCAGCAGTCAGGAGCCAGGAGCCAGCCAAGTTTCTTTTGCTGTAACCCTCTGGCAACAAGATTCCCTCTGCTTCTGTCTCTTTGTCAGCTAGTTTCACTGCACCTGTTACGATCGGGGTAACATCCCTGTCCCAGCACTGCTCTGCAGAAATAGCTACCACAGAATAGACTGTAAAATTCTCCTTAGCCCAGAGTGTCTCCTTCTAGCTTATTGTGATTCAGCTGCCCTGATTGTAGCCATGAGATTTTGAGAAATCATCTTATCTACATGCTTTTCTGTGTTCTGAATCTATTTTCAAAAGGACCAGGCCTCTAGACCATGGAGTCATCTCCTTTATGGGTTCTAGAATCTTCTCTTACTGCTTGCCCAGTATAGGTGAATCCACCCATGACACCTGTAACGTAGTCAGTCTTCTTTCAGTTAACATCTTGGTAGCATGGTTTTTTTCTCTGCGACTGACTTATCTGTTTGATGCTCAGATACCTTCTCTCTCTGAACTTAGAAAAATGAACAAACTCTGGCTACCCAGGCTGTTGAATGATACAGGACCTCTTGTGAACCTGTATAGGTGTTACATTTTACCTGTTCCACAAAAGGGAAGTTGGATTCCCCAAAGCAGCCTGCTCTGCAGGCCCCGGTTATCTCCTGCCTGGAGACAAACATAACTTTTTTGGAAATAGGAGGAAGAGGAGAACCAGATCATGTGGTTTTTAGTATAGCCCTCAAAGTGCTTATATTTCTTTTAAAAATATTTATTTATTTAAAAGGCAGATTAAGACAGAGACCTATCTTCCACCCATTGGTTCATGACCCTCTTACCTCCCTTCCCTCCCAAAATGGTGGAACCAGCCAGGACTGGGCTAGTCCCAAGCCAGGAGTCAGGAACTCCACCCCAGTTTCCCACACCAGGGCATGGACCCCCACTCTTGGGCCATCTTTGGCTGCCTTCCTAACAAGCACATTGCTAGGGAGCTGGGTCAGACACAGAGCAGCCAAGACTTGAGCAGCATGCCAGCATCACAGGCAGTGTCGTAACACACTGCACCACAGGGCCAGTCCTTGGGCTGCACAGCAGCACTGCTGAACCAGGCTAAAGGCTTAGTACATTGGAAAGAGCTGACCCCTCTTACTGTGTCATCTTGATCAGGTTTAGGTCTTATTTGTGAAGTGGATAAAGTATTCCCTGTCGAAGTACAGAGGATTAAATTAGAAAATGTAAAAAAAAACCAAAACAAAACCAGTAAGCTAAAGAGGGGCAAGCATTGTGGCACAGTGGGTTGAGGCACCACTTGTGAGGCTGTCATACCATATCAATGCCCCAGATGGTACTGATGTACTTGTGCCCCATGAAGCATATGGTTGAATGTTTACGTGGGGGTGGTATGTGCTTAGATGATTCTAAACTAGGCACATCCCCAGAGGAACCAGGCCATGGGCTCATTGTCCTCTCTTTGCTTTCCCAGCTGGCAGAGATGGAAGAGGAACTACGTTATGCACCTTTGTCTTTCCGTAATCCCATGATGTCTAAGCTTCGAAACTACCGGAAGGACCTTGCCAAACTGCACCGGGAGGTGAGGAGCACGCCTCTGACGGCTCCGCCTGGGAGCCGAGGAGACATGAAGCACGGGGCATATGCCATCGAGAACGAGCACGTGGTAAGCTGCTGTTCTGTGCAAGGGTCTGAGAGACGGGGTTCACCTTACTGTGGGGTGCAGCTCTCAGGGCCCTACACACTGGGTTTTCTTGTCTGTACCTTTATTTCTTTCCTGTCATCTCCCTGCGTCCCTACCCTAGCTAGGCAAGTCTTTATAAACCATGTGCATATTTTATTTATTTCCATGCTTAATGCATGAGCGAGTCTTTAATAAATTTCTGAAAAACTGGAATTAAAATATAACTCTAGAGATAGGCATATGGCACACCAGTTCGTTCCCACTTGAGGGACCCGTATTCTGAGTGTCTGGCCTGAGTCCCAGCTTCCAGCCAGTGCACACCTGCGCGGCAGCAGATGGAGGTGCAGTTATGTGCAAGACCTGGATGGAGTCCCTGGCTCCTGGATGTGGCCTGCTCCAGCTGCTCTGGACATTTGGGGATTTAACCAGCAGATGGAAGATCACACTCTGCCTTTCAAATGGAAAATGTTCTTAGTTTTAAAAATAAATGGGCCTCCTCACATATTTTTCACAGTACATGTTTTCCATGAACTTGCTGAAAACTTACATGCAGGAAATGTTTTGTGTATGTTTAACAGCTTTACTTGTCACCTGTTATTTTTATTTGTGCTCAGTATTCCTAACCCATTAGACCAATTTCTTTTCTTCCTGAGTGTTTTTCTTATACATTTTATTTTATTTTATTTATAAGGATTTTTTTTTTATTGGAAAGGCAGATCAAATTTACAGAGAGAAGGAGAGACAGAAAGATCTTCCATCTGCTGGTTCACTCCCAAAATGGCTGCAATGGCCAAAACTGAGCCCATCGGAAGCCAGGAGCCAGGAGCTTCTGGGTCTCCCATGTGGGTGCAGGGTCCTAAGGCTTTAGGCTATCCTGTACTGCTTCTCAGGCCATAAGCAGGGAGCTGGATGGGAAGTAGAACAGCCAGGACATGAACCAGCATCTGTATGGAATCCCAACGTGTGCAAGGCAAGGATTTAGCCATTGAGCCATCAGAACCAGGCCTTATCTTATGAATTTTAGTTACTGTCTCAAGTATGTCAAAAATTTTTCAGTGAGGCTTTTTCTGTTTCAGTGTCTGAGGACCAGAGGTCTCTCCTCCATTGGTTTACTCTTCAGGTGCTGGCAGCAGCTGGGGGAGGTGGGGTACAGGAGCCAGAAGCTGAAGCTATGTCTCCCCTTTGGCTGGCAGGATCCCAGACATGTGACTGTCATCTATACATTAGCCGGAAGGTGGAATTGGAAGCTGCGATTGAAGTCTAAGTACTGGAATATAGGATGAGGGTATTATCAGGAACACCTTAACCACTGTGCCAAGCATCTGTCCTGACTTAGGTTATCAGTATTTTTAAAAATGAATCCAGGCTTCTCTTGACCTTGGTGTCAGGATGACCCAGTAACAGATACAGTGTTATTCATATGCTTCATGGTAATGGGAAGTGAACCAGATCACCTCTCTAGCCTTCTCCTTGTTCTTAGCTGAGTCGCATGCTCCTTGATGGAGCCCAGCTGGTTGTCAGCTGCTCCGGGACAGACCCTGTGCGCTCTGAGTAGCTGAGAACCTAGAGTTGCACCTGTTTTGGTCAATGGTTGATTCCGTCTGACAAAGACTGCTTTTGTCCCCGTGGTGCCCGTGCTTAGGATTACCCATAGAGGAAATCCCCAGGGAGGCCACTTGGCTACAAGGGCAGCAGGCAGGCTGAGCTCACAGTGCATGGCATGGCAACTTTGGCCTCACCAAGAGTGTAACCCCATAGTTTTCCAGGCTTCTGGTTTCTTTTAAGGACAAGACAGGAACTCACTCCCAGCCTTGGATCCCCAGTACCACACCAGCCAAGTGGAAATCCTCAGGGAATTCATCCTTTCCTTCCTAGGACTGCAGGGTCTGGCCGACTTCTGCATGACACCGTCAGTCACAGTATGTTTGCAGTCCCAGGCAATTCCCTACTCTGGGCTGCTTCCTCTCAGGTGTCGGACCAGGAGGCCGACACACAGTTCAGACTCATCACAAACAGGGAGCATGCTGCACTGTGTTTAGTCTTTCTTCCTCACCTCACTTACATGGAATAAGCAGTGAAACGGCAATCACTGTGATCCTGATGATTGAGCTCCAGGTTCCGCTTTGGCCTGTGACCTTGACCAGGATCTTAGAGTTCGTTAGAAACAGCATCTTGGGTTCTGTCAAGAGGGTAGTGAAAATGACTGCTCGCCGAATCCCTTCTTGTACAGGGAAGGTCAGAAGAAATGTGTTGGAATGAATTTATAATGGAAAAATAACTTTTCCCTCGCATCCTCCCATTAGAATCGACTACAATCCCAAAGGGCATTGCTTCTGCAAGGCACTGAGAGCCTGAACCGGGCCACCCAGAGCATTGAGCGTTCTCATCGGATTGCCACCGAGACGGACCAGATTGGCTCAGAAATCATAGAAGAACTGGGGGAACAAAGAGAGCAGTTGGAACGCACCAAAGGCAGAGTAAGTCTGGGCAGGTTGGGAAGAGGGTGTTGGGGGCATGTGGGTGGGCTCACTGCACCCAGATGTCATGCTGAGGCGAGCAGCATACAGCATTCTGAATTTAGGGAGTAGATTTTTTTAAATGATTTATTTTTCGAGTTGGTGCAGTGGCAAAACAGGCTAATCCTGTACCTGCAATACTGGCATCCCCTATGGGCGCCACTTCTGATTGTGGCCTGGGAAAGCAGTAGAAGTGGCCCAAGGCCTTGGCCCCTGCACTTCTGTGGAGACCCAGAAGAAGCTACCATTGCAGCCATCTGGAGAGTGAACCAGCAGGTCCAAGATCTCTGTCTCTCCTCTTTGTAATTCTGCCTTTCCAATAAAAACTTTATGAAAAAGAGTTATAGAGGGAGGGGGAAAGAGAGGGAGATCATTATCCACTAGTTTACGCCCCCAAATGGTTGAAGCTGAGCTCATCCAAAACCAGGATCCAGGGGCTTCCTCCAGGTCTCCCACGTGGGTGCAGGGGCCCAAGAACTTGAGGCAAAAGCAGGGACAGTCAGGACTCAAACTGGTGCCCATGTGGGGTACTGGTGCTGCGCTGGAACCTTCACATGCTATATCACCATGCTGGCCCCAGGAGTAATTGTTAGAGTCTTATTTTTTCAAGTTTTACTTTGCTTAGCTAAGAGAAATTTTACTCCTGATATTTATATATAATTGGAAATTTGTTTTAGAAAAGGGGGAAAAGTCTGAAAGAGCCAAATTTTGCATTTGTAAAAATTACAGCCATTCCAACTTTAGTTCCTGTATCATCTATTGTTGCAAAGAAATAATGTTTAAAAGTGCTTAAGAAATTAAAGCTGCCAATCAAATTTTTATTTTCTTACGCAACTACTGGGATAATTTGCTGTTATGAAGATACCTACTTTAAGAAGTGTGCTTCAGAAAGTTTATAGAAAATGGAAGTAAACAGGGATTGGCATTGTGTAGTAGTAGGGAAAGCCACCACTTTGCAATGCTGGTATCCCATATGGGCTGTCTGAGGCCCTGGAGGCTCCAGTTCCAGTTCCGTGCCCTGGTGATGATCCGGGAAAAGCAGAAAATGGTCCAAGTGTTTGGGTTGCTGACACCCATGTATGAGAGAGAGAGAGAGAGAGAGAGAGAGAGAGAGAGACTGGCTTGTCTCGTGGCCATTGCAGCCATCTGGGGAATCTAAATTCTTTCAAATAAATGAATAAAGTCTTTCACGAAAAATGGAATTGAAAGAATGAATTTATTCTGGTGTAAAAATTTTCATATGTAGAAAATTTATATTGTGAAATAACTGCATGGATTTTAAAGCCATTTTTTTTTTTGCACCAAAATAACTCAATTTTATTTTTCTACTACCTTTAACAAATTCTTTTATACAGAGAGTAAGTGCCCACCTGTAGTCTCAGTCCCCCAAGCCAACGGCTGTGGCCAGAGGCAGCTGCTGTAAGCAGCCCACGCCTCCCACATGGGTTCTGCCCGTTGAGCTGCCACTACCATCTCCAGGGTCTGCGTTGTCACAGAGATGAACTAGAATTCAGCACTTGGTAACTAGGCCAAATGCCTGCTCTGTGAGACTAAATAGTACCACTGACGGAATATAATGATACAGTCTGCAATATATAAACCTTTGCTGTTACCTTTAGTTGAATCATTGCAGGAAACACACATATTCAGGCCAAATGATGACTGTACTTTTGTAAGAAGCTCTGAAAAATAACTCGTTTCTTCCCTTCTGTGAGTTAATCTACAGATATTTCACTAGTACAGTTGGCCATTGGAATGCTATAACTCTTAATAACATGAGGAAAATCCAGACTGAAAGATATTGTGACCAAGATTTGGACAGGAAAATATCTCAGTACTACCTACAATTCTCCATTCTTAGAGCAGTGAAAATTCACAAATCACAAGGCAGGCATTTTGATTACAGGTTGTGTGGCCTGGTTGAATTCAAAGCTAAGGAACATGATTCAGCTGAGAAAGCAATCTACCAAGGCTACTGGGTACGAGAACACGTGACAAGTGGCATCCACTTAAATGCCTCCAGTTCTGTAGCTTAGAAATGGGAAGTGAAAGGGAAGGGCCCTTGGGAGCCAGTTCCTGTACACACAGTTCAATGAATTTTAAAGGGGCAAAGGAAAACACCCTACTCCAAAAGTGGTAGCCGACCAACATACAACAAGGGCATTCAACAGGCTTTCCCGGAATTTGGCTGATGAAACTAAAATCTTCAGTTGCTCACGAGTTGCATCAGTCACCAGCTGGGTGCGTGCAAAGCCTCCTTGTTCTGAGTAGCCAAGGCAGAGGGTGCGTTCGGAGGCTCTCATGCAAGTCGGGTGTACAGGTTTTTTGGATTTTTTTCAATGTATACACCATGATATATCCTGTAAGTTTTGGAATATTCAGTTCTACAGCATGCGGAAATAATTACTGTTTTCTCTTTTCAGCTGGTAAACACAAGTGAAAACCTGAGCAAAAGTCGAAAGATTCTTCGTTCAATGTCCAGAAAGTAAGTTTTTAAAATAAAGAGTTATAGTTTAACACCTTTCAACCAGGAGAACTTAAAAGTCTCAATGAAGCGCCTTGTGACTTCATGCCAGTTGGTCCCCACTGCCAAGCTGTGGGCTTGTGTAGTTAACTACCCCAGGATAAAATCCTTTGTTAAGAGTATCTGCTGACTTGGAGCGTGCTAAAAGGTCCTGGCTTGTGCTACTTAGAGAAGCCAACACCCGGGAATAACAGAGCTTCGTATCTTTTGGCATATATTTGTGAAAACTTGATTAGAAAAGTTTTCTTTGCTGCTATTCAATACTTGCTTTTTACAAGATTTTTGGCTTTTTTAGGCAGATTTACAGAGAAAAGGAGAAACAGAAAAAGATCTACCACATGCTAATCCATGCCCCAAGTAATCACAAGGAGCTTATTTTGGGTTTCCCTCACGGGTGTAGGGTCCCAAGGCTTTGGGCTGTCCTCGACTGCTTTCCCAGGCCACAAGCAGGGAGCTGGATGGGAAGCAGGGCTGCTGGGATCAGAAACCAGCTCCTATATGGGATCCTAGAATCTGCAAGGTGAGGACTTTAGCCACTACCATACTGGGCCCTCAATACTTGCTTTTGGTTGTTACTGCCCTTCATGGGAATTGGCTGGTTTTCCAAAATTTTCATCTTGTAAGAACTAGACTTAAAACCCTACCAGAATGGCAATTTTAAAAAAAATTAAAATAGCTGCCATTTAAAACCATTTTGCAAAAGTGAAGAAAGCATTTTTGTGCTTTTTTGCTTGGTGTCATGAGGTAGACAGTATTAATCCCCAAGTTAGGGCAAACCAGCCTCAGGAGCCGTTACCCAGCAAAGATCGCTGGAAGTACTTGGTGCTGGGTGGCTGCGTGATTAAACGCACATGGTCTGCCCAGCAATCCCCCAGTACTGAGAATGGGAGGGAGCTGGTGACAAGGATTCTGACTGTTCCGCTCTTGGCTTCCCTCCCTCCAGAGTGACAACCAACAAGCTGTTACTCTCCATCATCATCCTGCTGGAGCTGGCCATCCTGGCAGTCCTGGTTTATTACAAATTCTTTCACAAGCACTGAACTTCCTAAATGGAAGGGATTGTGGAGCAGAACTCTGACCTGTGATTGAAGCATGTTGCTGCTGCTAACGGTGCAAGGATGCCCTGTGTGGCCAGAGCGTGGGAGGAGGGGGGAGACGGAGAGCCAGGGTCACGTGAAGAACGGCAACTAGACCAGTGACATACCAAGGTAATAAATGCTGTTTATAACTGCTTTAAATTTACATGGTACTGTAACGTGTTCATACTTATGGACTGGATAAAAACATTTACAGTAGGAATATTGGTCACCAAAAGGTAAAGGGGGCACCTTTACAGATGTGCTCATTAAGGCAGTGCTGGCCCAGGCAGCACCGCTCATCTGTCCCCTCAACTGCCTTGCAGTTCCGGAATGCCCACTGTGAAACGTACCATCAAGTATTTCCTAAATTCTCACACACTCTGCACTTTCTGATTCGTCTGGTGAACTTGGTGTAGGAAGTTGGTCATAGGTGATATGTCCTCCTTCTCTCGTCTGACCAAAACTCGAAGCGATCACATCCACGGCCAGGCTAGCCGTAGCCTTCGCCTCGTCCTCCGAAGCGGCTAACCGAGGATTGACTTCCACAAGATCCAGAGCCGACAGCAACCCTGTGAGAAGAACAGAGTGTAACGGAACCTCAGAAAACTGCCTAGCTGCCACTTCCAAGGAGGGTCTTCGCACCTGGACAGGGAGAACAAACTAAGGGGAAAATATGAACTGTAAAATCACCTTTTGTTTTCTCTCAGTCAAGAAACCTTTAAGGAAATAAATCATCCTCTTATCTACTAACATAGTGGTACAGCTGCTAGGTTCTCGGAATAAGAAATGGGTGTGGTGTGCGGAGGATGGTATTTCAACCTGCTTCCTGGGAAAATGTGTGCTGTTTGCAGCGTGACTAGGAACCTTCCAGAGCCAGCCTAGAATAGCGGCAAGTGTCAAGGTAGAGAGAATCCCATTAGCAAAGCCATGGTCCTGCTTTTGAACTCAGAGCTGTATCGGAGTCTTGTACAGCACCAGACCATGTATCCCGAAGTGTGGTTAATTCTACAAGCCTCCTTCTCACGCTGTGGAACTGGGCCAAGGGCAGGCTCTATGCCTGACAGATGTCTCCTGGCAGACCTACCCATTATCTTACACTTGGTGAGGATTCAGCCATGTGTGAATCCTGTGAGGGTCTGCAAGCTGCTGCCCAAGTCCCCAGCACTGCTCCTTTGACCTGAAGGGAATTAGACCAGAAGCTATCTAGTCCTGACCTCTGTCCCTGAAATGTATTTTGACGGAGCTGATTATTCTGGGTGAAGTTAATCTTCTTTAGGAGCCATCTGAACAAGCAGTGCTCAAGGATACAAGGATCTGAGAATATTTCTGGTGGCATCAAAATCTGGAAACATGGGTAAGTATTCTTAATACTTTCTGATATTCCATTATTACATGACTGGGGAACCTTTTCTATGTCAAAGGCTGTTTGGATATATAGGCCATACATCATCTTAAAAATTAGCTTGTTGGGCTGGCCTGGCGGCGTGGCCTGGCGGCTAAAGTCCTCCCCTTGAACGCGCCAGGATCCCATATGGTCACCGGTTATAATCCCAGCAGCCCTGCTTCCCATCCAGCTCCCTGCCTGTGGCCTAGGAAAGCAGTCGAGGACAGCCCAAAGCCTTGGGACCCTGCACCCGTATGGGAGACCTGGAAGAGCTCCCGGCTCCGGATCGGTGCAGTATCGGCCGTTGCACAGATCTGAGATGCTTTTGGCACAAAAGAGACATCTTTTCATTTTCCACAAAACCTTTTGCAGTACCTTCACAGAATATATAGTCTACATAAAAAGACCCAAGATCCAGTCCAGCTTGCAAATATTTAGATCAGCTTTGATTCCAGAGTCCCAACTCACATTAAATTGAGCTCTTAGCCATTAAATTACAGTTACATGGTCTTAAGCTTTTTCATTTTTGAGAGAGGAAGCTCTCATCAGCTGTCTCACTCTCTGGAGATCCACAATAAGTCCCAAAGCCTCCAAAAATGCTATCCAGTTCTTCCACATGGGTGGCAAGGACCCAATCACTTGAGCCATCACCGCTGGGGCCAGTGTGGTGGTGCAGCAAGTTAAGCTGCCACCTGCAGCAGCAGCATCCCATATGGGCACAGGTATGAGTTCCAGCTGCTCTGCTTCTGATCCAGAGCACATCCATGCCAATGTGCTTAGGAAAGCTGTGGAAGATGACACATGTGCCAGGGTCCCTGGCACCCACAGCGAGACCCAGATGGACTCCAGGTTCCAGGCTTCAGCCTAGCCCAACCATGGCTGTTGCAGCCATTTGCAAAATGAAAGTTAATGGAAGATCTCTCATCACCTTTCAAATAATCTCTATTAAAAAAGTGTTCTAGAAGCCATATAAGTCAGATTCAAAGATGATTCTAAATGAATATATTTATTGGGCTAATCATGGTATTATCCATCAAAAGTTTAAGAAAAACAAGTCTACAATAGCACACTGTTCTAGAAGGTCCCTGCAGTCAGGACTCAGCATACTTATGTAGTTACTAGGCTACACACCTGGTTGCTACCTACCTGTATTATGTATTTCTTCTGAAATGTATATGCCTTCTCGGTAAGTCAGCCCCCCAGCAACAGGGGTTCCCGTGGCTGGGGCCAGTGTAGGGTCAAATGCATCAATGTCGAAGCTCAGATGGATCGGCCGCTGTCGCCTGGAAAGGAAGAGGGTGTGAGGACACTAACTCAGGATGCATGCGCATCCTTCCTGTGCTTTCAACACCGTGATTTTGTGACTCTCAGTCCTGGTACTCTTTCTATAGCGTATTTCCTATTGCTATTAATTATTGCCATTATTAATTACTATTAATAATTCCGATTAGTAGCATTTTAGCTTCCTCCATACCACTTTGTGATATTGTTCTGCATGCCACAAATTATTTCTGCTTACCCTGGGCAGAAATTGGAACCTCTGAATGGAAAGAGGTCTTCACTTCCCTATGATATTGGACCTCAGACTAAGTTGGGTTATAGTTGCAGCTTTGAGTATTAACAGCAGCTAGACTTCATGTCATCTTTGGTTTTAAGTTGAATTTAGCTCAGGTTTCTAGTGGCTGAAGCTAATCTACAACATCCACAAGCTAAGAGACTTGATTTCCTAACAGCTTAACAGATGACATACCGGGGCCAGTGTTGTGATGTAACAAGTAAGGCCACCACCTGCAATGCTGGCATCTCATGGGCACTGGTTCAAATCCAGCTACTCCACTTGGAATCCAGCTCCCCGCTCATGGCCTGAGGAAGCAGCAGAAAAAGTGCTTGATTCCCTGTATGCGCATGAGAGAACAGAAGGAAGCTCCCGACTCCAATCTGCTGTGGCAGTCTGGGGCATGAACCAGCAGGTGGAAGACCTCTGCCTCTGTCTCTCGCTCTCTGTGTCTCTATCCCTCTTTCAAATAAGTAAATCTTAAAAAAAAAAAAAAAAAAAAGACAAATACATACTACCACATGGCAATCCTGACATTTATCACACAGAAGCAAAATTGTGAACTTTTGCTTTAGCATTCCCTTGCCATCTTCTATAGTACCAGCACTTGCCCAATGTAAAAACTCAAATGAAGCAATAGCAAGACTAAGCATGGGACAGCAGGAACAATATCAATAGATAAGCTTTACACTGGAGATGAGATGCCAGAGGGAGGATCCGATCAGCAGCTCCGCGGAAACCGCCCCACTCAGGGCTGCTACGGTGCTACCTTTCTGGAGTAGCTGAGCTTTTTTCAGTTTGCATGCTTTCCTTTTGTTGTGAAGGTAAAGCTACTGTTGTCAAGTGACAGCCCAAGGCTGGTACACACGGGACTGGGGACCGAGCAGAAGACAGCCATGACAGTTACATACTTGCCAATCAGGAGATCCAGCGTCTGTTCCATGACTTTCTGGATGCCAAGCCGATCAATGTCTCTCATGGAGAAATACTGGATATCATAGTTCTTTAAAATAAAACTGTGGGGAGATATAAAGGAGTTCTTATCTTAAAAAGCCTTTCTTTCTCAGAGATTTATTAATTTAAAGGCAGAATGATGGAGAGACTGGGAAATAAAGATCTCCCATTCACTCTCCAAATGCCAACAACCAAATCATGCCGAAGCCAGCAGCTCCTTCCAGGTCTCCCATGGGGGTAACAGGAAACCCTGTCCTTGGGCCATCTTCCACTTCCTCCCAGGAACACCGGCAGGAAGCTGGGTCCGACATGCATGATTAGGCACTTCAATAACAATGCTCAACCTGCTGTACCATCACATCTTCCCCTCTAAAAAGCATTGTTAACAAATACACATTTAAGAGGATTTTGCCCTTATGGTGATCTACAACTCATTAAAAATTAAGCATCAAATTCTGTTCTTTTCAAACAGGAGCATAAGTAGCTGCTATAGACAGATCCAAAGCTTAGACCTAATGCAGCAACTTACTGTTCTGGAGGGTCCACATCTCTTAGACCAATATACACAATACTTCGGGAAGAGATACAAGGTTTGATCCAGGAAAAGCCTGGCAGTTGTGGTACCTATGAAGAGGGGAATGAACAAGATTAAGCAGGAATTCTTAGGCTTGAATTCTTCCCAGGGTAAGCAGGCTGTTCTCGCCTCTGATACACAAGTTGACTTGGGAAGGAGACTGTTAGGAGCAGAAGTGTTCTAGAAGGGAAGCTCCCTGTAGAAGCGTAAAAACAATTTCTTCTGAGGCGGTCTTGCTTTCTCGCTAACTTTATAAATCCTGTCGAATAGCCCTTTTCCACCTCGTAAACCTGAGTTGTGTAATTGTTTCACCTCGGCCTGCCAGCACCAAATCATGACTTTGCAGGTTGGCTTCCTGTAGAGGGAAAGGAAGCCTCGCTTCTCCCCCATCTCCGGAGCGGCTCAGGAACGTGCGGCCCACGGCTACTCCCAGTCTGCTCTTCTACAGCCGTGATTCCCACAGCCTGGGAGCCCTGACCAGGAAGTCCTGTGCTTGCACCAGTCACTGCAGTTACTATCTTTTACTGCCTTATTATCCTGCTTCTACAGAGTCCCTTAAGAATTGGGACCATGTCGTGGTCAGCTTATGCCCCTAGCATCTAGCAGGTGGCTGGCCCTCATTAGTGTTTAATGGCCAAAGGTAGGAGCAGTAAGCCGCACTCCACTCAACCCACCCTTCACCAAAAGCTTATTGAATCAGAGCCTCAGGACAACTCTATAAAGTCATTCCCCTTACTTTCCATTTCAGCCCACTGACCTTGTCCTGTAGTTCTCTTAGGAGAAATGACAGTGGCTGGCCGTGGAGATTTCCTGTTGCAGTGCTGAGGGGTGTATTGATGTCAGCATGGGCATCAACCCAGACCACACAAAGGTCTGGGCAGTGCCGGGCGTGGCCACTAATGGTACCAATTGCCAGGCTGTAAAGAACAAATATAATCTTCAAGGTCCTCTGCTTGGCAGGCATTAGCATTAACACAGCTTATACTCTGTCCTCAGGGCAAAGTCAGCACCTAGACAGGCTGGGTTTGGCGGAGATGAGTTCCCGGGGGGTTGTCATTCCCAAAGATTAGCCTTGAGTGAGTTAGGGTAAAATGTACGACTCTGAAAGTTCAAAGTTGATTGATGCTAGACCTGCAGTGACACATACCAGTGCTGTCCTCCAAAGCCATGTAATGTCAATGTCATCCACTAGCCCTGTCCCAGAAAAGGACAGTAAGTTAGATGATGTGTTTTACACGCAGGAACTCGAAACTTCTACTTAAAATATATTGTGGCAAGGGGAGAAATGTGCAGCATTGTGGCTCATCGGGTTAGACTGTTGCCTGCAATGCTGGCATCCCAGAGCGCTGATTCAAGTCCTGACTGCTCTGCTTCTAATCTAGCTCCCTGCTAATGCATCTGAGAAGACAGTGGAAGACGGCCCAACCCTTTGGACCCCTGCTACCCACATCAATGATCAGATGGAGTTCTTGAGTCCTGGCCTGGCCTACATCCGACCACTGCAGCCATTTAGGTAGTGAACCAGCAAATGGGTGATCCACCTCTCTCTGTCACTTGGTTTCAAACATGTTGTGAGACCTAGAAGACACAATTCTAACTTGCCAACAATCACTTGCAATAACTTTTTAAGGATAAGCCTGAAAAATCAGTTGTAAAGACATGAAAACAATAGGGCCAACCCAATTGAAGATCTCATTTAGAACACTGAATTACATGTTACTTATTAGCATTAAAATTCAAAAAGCTTGTGAGTGTATTTAAGTAATTGCCTTTCCTCGTCTTTGGACTGGCTTACATTAGCCAACCATCTAGCTTCAATGTGGAGACAGTTGAGGAGGTGGTGGTCAGAAAGCTGCCCATCTTCCTGGTAATCAAGGAATTGGACAGCTTTGATTTCAGTGCGATTTGGCTCCTGAAAGCATGATGATATTTGAAATCTAAAGTCCTAAAATAATGGGATGGTGGTGGTGAAAATTTAATCCAGTTATGGTGTTTGGGAGGTGGCCTACTTGGTGGGAGGGGGTGACCTTCTGACATGGGGGTAACACCCTCAGAAGATAATCCTCATGAGAAGGTCATCATTAAAGCCCAAGTTGGGCTCAGCTTCCCTGCTTCCTGGTTCACCCTGTGGTCCTTCTTCCTCCATAAAGCTGCACCATTGCTATTTGCTGCCCTCACTGGATGCCCAGTCATGGGGACCACCTGATCCTTGGATTTGAATCTTTGAGATAAACATTTTCTCTTTATAGTTAATTGCCTGAGGGATTTTGTTGTTAACAGAAGCTGACCAGTATATGAGACACAGATGAGAAATGTAGCTTCAACAACTAAAAGGAGTATCTGTAGCCATTCTTCTTAAGAATAAGATAGCACTGGGCCCGGCGCGATGGCGCAGTGTTTAAGGTCCTTGCCTTGCATGCCCGGGATCCCATATGGGCGCCGGTTCTAATCCCGGCAGCCCCACTCCCCATCCACCTCTCTGCGTGTGGCCTGGGAAAGCAGTCAAGGACGGCCCAAAGCTTTGGGACCCTGCACCTGCACGTGGGAGACCCAGAAGAGGCTCCTGGCTTCTGATCGGCATAGCATTGGCCGTTGCGCTCACTTGGGGAGTGAATCATCAGACGGAAGATCTTCCTCTCTGTCTCTCCTCCTCTCTGTATATCTGACTTTCCAATAAAAAATAAAATAAAATAAATCTTAAAAAAAAAAAAAAAGAATAAGATAGCACTTCAGGAACCATGTCCCGCATCGGCCCCTTTTAAGGATGCCACCACTGCTGGCTAAAGGCAGTGGATTGGCGTTCCAGTCCAGGAAGAGTCCTGTGATTTTTAAAAAAAAGACATTTAATTTCTCTAGATTTCATATTCCTTCCATAAGGTAGAGAACTAAAGCTTGACTTGTTTAAAAGAGTTGGTTAGATGATTAAAGTGACAATATATAATATACAGTGTAAAGGAAGCAGTAACCTGAAGATGTCTCTTCCTTTCAAATGTTCAGGAGTTGTTCAGGTTTTATGCTTATCCCTCTTTAGAATCTTCCAGATTGCCTTGTTTTTTTGTGTTTGTTTTTTTAGCATTGACTAGGAAATGAAAAAGCAGTAACATGGCTTATTGGTCAGTTTTCCATTACTACAACTAAGTATCGGACACAGGCTGCTTATGAAGGAGAAAGCTTTGTTGTGGCTCAGTTCAGGGGTGTCCCAGCAGCCTGACATCCTAGAGGGTGGCGAGTGATCAGCTGAGTGCAGAACCAGGGCACATGCTCATTATCCGTGTCTATGGGCTCGCCTTAAAAAGCCCCATGACTTGATCATGAGGGCTCCTCTGCAACCAACTTCAGCCTACTCACTTCCCAAAGGCCCCACCCTTAACTGAATGAAGTTTTCACCCTTAGTATCAGTAATATAAGAAGTTAATGTTAAAGGCCCAGCCTTTATACAGGCTTTGGGGACACTTATACCCAAACTCTAGCACAGGGCTACAATATAGATAGCTACAGGCAGAAGAACTAAGGCCTGTGTAATCACATTGATAACAGGTGATAACACTTGATGAGGAAGATTATATAAACTTTCAGAGATAACACTGCTGCAGTCCGGTCCTAAGGAGGAATCCTCTGTCTCTCCAGTTGCACAAGGCTCTTACTTCTGTCTAGCTATCTGGAAAGCTCTCTGAAGAAGAGATTGGATCTGGAAGAAGAAAGTTCATTGGCTAAAGGGACATACTGGATTTCCATTTCCCACTCTGCCATTTCCTGGCTTTAGACCCTGAATAAGTTATCTAACTGCTGTCCCTCAGTGCTGTCAGGAATAAATTAGATAGAATCACATCTGCTTCCTGGCATTGTTGGCAGGATGATAACCAAATACCCATGCAATGCTAAACAGCTGCAGTACTTCAGCACCTCTTTTTCCCACCAAAAATCCTCATTACTTAGACCACACTCCCTGCCAAGACCGAGTGACCTCCTCCTCCTCAGGAAACCGGCAGAATTCAGGTTTTGGGTTTTTTTTTTTTTCCCGTTCCATCTGGATTTATTTCATCTAGTCCTAAGAGATCACAAGTTTCCCACGATTGTTAGTACTATTGAGAGCACAAATCAGTGCTCAAGAAAGCATCACTGAATCACTAAGATGAAGGGTTGCAGGATTGCATTTTAGTCACCCAGGAGCCTACTGTGGGGGCAGAGATGCCCTCCTGGCACGTGAATGTTTTCTAACAAATTCATTGCAGAACTGTCAAAAAAAAAAAATGCCAACAACAGCTTTCAGCCTATGGATGCATACTACCAAGTCTTCTGAAGTGCCAAGTGGAAGCCGTAAGGAACCTTTCCAGTAGACAAGCCTGAACACAGTGCCTGCAAACCTTGCTCAGCCTGCTGCTGCACTGGATGCATATGAACATACGCTTCCTCTTGCTGTGCGTAAAACATGCTCTACAAGGCCACACAATGCCTTCAGCAGCTCATCTTGGGCATAATTATGTAATGAAGGGGTCACTGTGGTGCAGCATGTTAGGATGCACTTGGAAGGCCCACTTGCAGCGTCAGTGTACCTGATTTGAGTCCCAGTTATTCCACACTTCCAGTCCAGCTTCCTGCTTATGTACCTGGGAGACTCAGATGGAATTCCTTGTTCCCTTCCTTTGGCCTGGTCTACACCTGGCTGTTATACGTATTTGGGAGTCAATCAGCAGATAGATCTGTTTCTGTATCTTTGTCACTCTGCCTTTCAAATAAATATTTTCAAAAAGCTACTGTAGGAGTGAGCATCTGGCCTCTGCAAGACCTCAGTGAGGATGTCCACAGCCCGTAGCCAGAATGCCTGGGGCTGATGACTGGCAATGCTTCTGACTCCACTTCTGCTAAGCAGACCCCGAGAAGGACCATGATGGCTTAGGTGATTGGGTACCTCACCTCCGTGAGACTCCTGGGTTGAGTTCTCAAGTCCCATCCTCCTGCCAGCATAGCCCCAAAGCAGCTGCAGGCATCAGAAAATGACTCAGCCCATCGGAACCCTCCACCTGTCTCTCTCGAAGTAATTTGTTTAAGTGTTATTACATGGGTTAAGCCACTGCTTGTGACTAACCTGGGGAAGCAGTAGCAGAAGGTCCAAGTACTTGAGTCCCTGCCTCCCATGTGGGAGACCCGGATGGAGTTCCTGAATCTGGCTTCTGTCTGGTCCAGGCATGGCTATTACAGGCATCTGGGGAATTCTCTAGTAGCTGCAAGAAGGTCTGTGTCTCTTCCCACCCATTTCCTGCTCTACCTTTAAAAGAAATAAACCTTTTTATCAAAATTCTAAACCTTTTTTTCAAAATTCTACTATACTACTTCTTCATGCCCTAGGACTTCTGGAGGGTACTTTCTGCATGTTAGGAACAGGTAAGGGAGCTAAGCAATAGCCAAAGCATTGTGCAATGCTGCCCTCGACTGCCCCAGCTCCCAGCTTACCTGTGATCTCCTCCCACAGTGACACAGCTATGACCACCAGACACAGCTCTGCTCACCACCTCAGCCAGTTCCTGGTTGGCAAGGCCCACTGACCGCGGATTCGCAACCAGGTTGTTGTAGAGATCATCTTTGGGGACTGGAGTAAAACTCAAATCTCCGAAGTCTTTTAGACGGCAACCTGAAAACAAATGAGGACAAACAAAATGAATTGTACTTGCTGCTCTAAGCCCAACAGGCCTGGGCCCCAAAGAGTAACTGGTAGCGGAGATAGTAACAGCACTGACAAGCATTTTACCACCGTCAACTTGAACATGTGTCCTGCCATTGTCCTTTAGAAGTGGATCCTGTCACAGTTACCATTAAAGGGACACCTGGAGACTTTCAGGGACTTGGCCTGTCAGTCACAAAATCAGTAGCAGTTAGACCTCAGGTATCCTAGAATCGTACAGTGGAAGGAAAATCCCACGGAACAGTTCAAAGAGTTTGCCACTAACTTGGTACAAAAGTATATACATTTTTTTTCTTACATAAAAAGTCAATCTGGGGATCCTGAAGCATCCTAGGAGAGAAACATCTTTATGTTTACTAACTACATGGTCCCAGGCACTTTTCTATTCGACAAACTTATTCATGTTATAAACATACAACTAAATAAGGCAACTAAAATATGCCTGTTCACAAATGAAGAAAGTGACACACAGAGGCAAACCTGCCAGGGCCACACACAGCCACTGAATGTCAACGGCAGAATCAAAATGTAGGCCAGCTGGCTCCAGAGAAAGACCTTCCATCTGATGGTTCACTCCCCAAGCAGCCACAACACCCGGAGCTAAGCCAATTCAAATCCAGGAACCAGGAGCCTCTTCTGGGTCTCCCATGTGGGTGCAGGGTCCCAAAGCTTTGGGCCATCCTCAACTGCCCTCTCAGGCTACAAGCAGGGTGCTAGATGGGAAGCGAGGCTGCCGGGATTAGAACCGGCACCCATATGGGATCCCAGGCATGCAAGGCAAGGATCCTAACCACTACGCTATAGCGCCAGGTCATGAAAACACTTTTAAAACAGTAAGAAAGGTACAAGTCACCACAGACTTCACCAGTCTTAAAATCTGGGGAAGCTTTGACTTACAGTCACTATCGGGTCTTGTTTCTGTTGAAAATACACTGCTGATCCAGAGTTTGGAAAAGTGGCACTCCCAGACCCAGTTCTCATACATGCCACTGGGTTTTAAGCTAGTACCCGGCAAAGTCTGCCCTTCCATTTGGCCGTGTATGAGCTAGTGAACGTTGCAGTCTGGCCCACCCCACACTCTATTCAGGATGCACATTCGGGTGCTGCTGCCTTGATCAGTCCAGACTGTTGCTGGTTCCTTTACCTGTGATTGATGGCAAGCTCCTTGGTCACAACTAGCTTAGTCCATCACCACCCCAACTCTTGAGTTAACCAGTGAGGCTAGAATTTCTACAGGGTTTGGCCCACACATCCCCCACAGAATCTACCTCCGGGATATGGTTCCGGGGTTACCTTCCCGGGTAGCTCAGCCATCTCCTTATATCAAGCATGAAGTTCTTACTAGATACAAGACACCAGGAAATATCTAGGGTTTGGCAATATTAGGTCAATAATTGTGAAAGATTTTATAATCTGATTAGATGTTAATATTAACTTTTCAGAACTACATTCCAGGTAGTTGAACTTATCAAACCACACATGACCAATAAGAAATGGAGGAAAATTAAAGCGATAAGATAAGTGCTAGAACTTAGGGAACACTCCAGTCCAGTCACAGATACTAAGATATAAACTCTGATAAGTAAAAAGCAAGTGAGCACAGCATGGTTTTCAGTCTTAACCAGAAAAAAAGCTGCCCAAAGCCTAAGAAGGCTTCTACACAGAATCTAACCAGTTAAGAGGTCAGAGTTTTATAAAAGGATTTTGATCAGTTAACATGGAACCCTACCCTGGGGTGGTTCACCAAGTGAATTCATAGCTTGGACGGTGGAGTCTCCTAAGATTACCCAGCCCCATTTACTCTGATTCCTTGTCACCATCACCAATGGCCTCTGCTGGCACCTACTTCCAGATGCTTTCATTCATTTCTCCCACACAGCCATGCTGGAAGAGCTACTGCTCCACATGGCTATGCACAGGCGTTCCACTGGATTGTTCAGCACGGGCAGTGTAAACCGTGGGGTCTACAGAGGAACCATGCACATGGCAAGCCTTGTGTTTTTGGGTCCACAGTGCCAAGTGATTATTTTGCCGGGCCTGAGTGGCCTGCCCCAAATGACACCCATTTAGTACCAAGTGAAGTCTCTTACAGCCAGCCAAGATTGGGTAAGCACTGTTTTATTATTCGCCACCCTCTTCACTAGCAACAGGAATCCCTAGTAAATGTAGAAAGTCCTTTGGTGGAAAGCTCAGTCCTGTAACTCCCCAAGCTTCAGTACTGACTCTGGAGACCTTCGTGCATGAACATAAGGCAAACTGCTACACTTTATCCCAAAGTAAAGACTCGCACAGTGTTTCTTGTTCATCTAGCACCCAGAGCAGGTATCCTGGCTCAGCAGGAAGTAGTCCCCCAGGCAGTGGTATAGGGCTTGGTGGCTAAGGTGAGGCCTTCCCAGGTTCAAAGCAGCAGGTGGGACGAAAGCATCCATGACCTAAAAGTGGCACATCACTCCAGCTCATGAGGCAATGCCCAGCAAATGCAGTTGCAGCTTATTTTTGCAGAGGCAGAGAGCATGGCATATTGGTGGCAGTGAACAACTCTGCCCCAGTAAATACTTTTTAATTCTTATGCCATAACCCTCTAATTGAAGAAGTCAAAATACTGAAAACTTAGTTTCTAGAACTACCAAGCTTATATTATTTTTTATGATTTATTTTTGGGCTCGGAGCAGTAGCCTAGTGGCTAAAGTCCTCGCCTTGCATGCACCAGGATCCCAAATAGGCACTGGTTCTAATCCTGGCAGCCCTGCTTCCCATCCAGCTCCCTGTTTGTGGCCTTGGAAAGCAGTTGAAGATGGCCAGCGATTCACCAGCCAGCGATTACCCTCATGGCTCCTAACATTCTCTCCCAACCAGCAAAAGCAAATACGGATCCCTAAACTCGCGCACTCACCTGTTCTAGACAAACAGCTCTCATGCCTAAGCACCTCGGTTGAAGCAACTATCTCAGGCCCTCTATCAGCAGTTCCTGTGGCTGAATCTCAGCCAAAGACATTCCTGGTTCTACCTGACAGAGTGTCCAATGGGAGAATGAATGTGCTTAGTGTAGTTGAACGAAACTTGAGTGGCCCCCATTGGCTTCCAGAATTCCAGCACCCTAGCCTGGTCTCACTTGGCCGGTGCCTCTTCAGTACTCCAGCTGGGTCAATGGTCGCAATCCCAGAGATCTCAAGTGCTCATCTCAGTTAAGAGCCGATGGTTATCTGGACATTCATTCTTACCCAGCTGTATCAGAGTTAACCAGAAACAGAAGCAGATGCTCTGCCTCTCAGACCTGTTCATATAACGTAAACAAACGGTTACCAGAGGGAACCACTGAGTAGCCTTCCTAAGGCTGGGGAAATGGAAAAAAACAAGCACAGACACTAAATCAAGTACACTCCAGCAAGAGAACAGGACGTTTCACCGATGCCATGGCAACAACCTCAGCCTGTGTCACCGATGCAAAATGCAAAGAAAGGCATGGACTTGTGGTAATTCCCTTACCCTGAGCTTTCTCTCTCTTGCAAGCTGACCCACGCAGCTTAGCTGAGAGTACACGAAGCACCTCTGTGGGCACTGCTTGGGAGGAGAGCCATGGAAACTTGTCTTGGTACTTTTCTCCAACATATTCCAGAAGATTTAGCCAAAACCTTGTGCTAGCAATTTGCTGAGTGCCACGATCTTATTAATATGCAACGAGATTCTATTTCAAACAGCTGTGGACATTGAGCTATCAACAAGCCACAGGGTGAAGATAAAATTGTACAGCTACAAATATTTGAGAAAATGTCTCTCCTTCTCTGTAAATCAACCTTTCCTTGTTACTAAGTCTTAACAAAAACAAACAAAACAAAATGTTACCCTGCTCCCTACTTGTAACCTGGGAAAGCAGCAGAGGACCCTCCCCTCCAGGGAGACCTGGAAGAAGCTCCTAGCTACTGGTTCCTGGCTTCAAACTGGCTCAGCTTGGCCATCATGGCCATTTGGGGAGTGAAAAGCAGATGGATCTAGCAAAAAAAAAACACACCTGTCTATTATATATATACATATGTACATACATACATAGGGGACACATGATAGAGAACATGGAATGAACTCAAGTTTCACCACCACACTGGGTTGGAAGTTTAAAGACAGAGGGGCTAGGATGTAACGGGGAATGGCTTCCCTCAGGTCAAGGTGGACAATTACCGCAAGCTGCAGTCGGAAAGGAGGCCCTACAGCCGTCGGGAACAGAAACGGGCCCGCACTGAGCATTCCTCGGCATCAAAGACTTTAAACTGTTTCAATCTCTTCAGTGGAGACGCACAATCTGAGCAATGCCTGTCCCAGTTCAGTCAGGCGGCCGAGATCTGCCCCAGATTTAAAAATAATGATTGTAGAGGTTGTTGTCTTCGGTGTCAAATGAGTCTTTCAAACAGGCAGAGTGTACAAGCTATTTTAAGGGACAGTACTGACTTTGTTAATAAGCACGAATTGGGAGCCTCTGTTGGGTAACTTGTGACACACTCATAGGTGGCTAAATCTTAGCAGTTTATCTTTCATCTTCAACCAACAAACGTCAAGAGGCATTAATATGACTAAGGAATTAGAGAAAAGAGGGTTGGGTATTTAAACCAAGCCACTATACCCGTGTGTAAATGGATGAATGTGAAATACACCTCAAGTTGGGGCCTGTGTTATGACAGGGTGGGTTAAACTGCCATTCGAGACACCAGCATCCCATCTGAGTGTCATTTCGAGTCGTGGCTGCTCCACTTCCAATCCTGTTCCCTGCTAAGGCACTTCTGCTGGGAAAGCAATGGAAGATGGCCCAAATGCTTGGCGCTTCTGCTGCCCACATGGGAGACCCAGGTGAAGCTCTTGGCTCCACCTGGCCCAGCCCTGGCTGTTGAAGGCACCTGGATAGTGTGCCAGCAGATGGAAGACTCAGGCAGTCTCTCTGCTTGCCTTTCAAATCCTGAAAAATTAATCCTCAACTCAAGGTGGCTTCAAAGACTTTATGGTTCCTGTGATTTTAGAAGGAGATAATTCATTCTTAGTGTGGAGATTTCAGAGCAAATTGGGAAGAACTCACAGCTCACCTTGATGCTACTAACTCCTGCTGCCATGTGTTTTGTATTTACAGCAGCAGACCTAACTTAAAGGCAGGAAATAGCCTGGAACTGCAGCCAGACCATGTGGATATGTACAAGGAAGAACCTTCCTCTCATAAAGGTATTGAGATGTGTCGCCCTATCACTAAGAAGATTCCCTGGGGTGTGAAACTGGTGATTAAGAGACTTGCATCCCATGCTGACATGCCTGGGTTCAATACCCAGCTCCAGCTGGCTGCTAATGCACACCCCAAGAGGGAGCAGCGATGGCCCAAGTAGCTGGGTTCCTGCTTACCCGTGGGGGACACCTGGACTGCAAGTCTGGCTTAAGTCTCAGCCCAGCCCGCAGCTGGAGGCTTTGGGCAAGTAACCCGGGAGGAGAGCACTCATGGGAGAGCCGGCTTGGTGAAGAGGCTGTTCAACATGGCAGAGCGAGCGAGCTGGTTCACTCCCCAAATGACTTCAAGGGCAGGAGCTCGGCACGCAGGTCCAAAGCCAGGAGCCTCTTCCACGTTGCCCAAGTCACCCTCTGCTGCTTTCCCAGTTCATAAGCAGAGACCTGGATGGGAAGTGAAGCAGCCAGGACATGAAAGGAGGAGGATTAATTTGGGATGCCCCTAGGCCAGCTGCACGCTCTCAGATATTTAAAAGGGTTCTCCATTGCTTTAGAAATGCCATTTATCTTGGGTTAGATTTACTTTCACTATCCTAATTACAAGAATGCAACTTGGATTCTGGTTAACCAGGTGTGCCAGTCAAAACCCACATTTCCAGGTTCTGCCTCAGACCCAATAAATCAGCTTCTTCCATCGAAGGAGCCCTGGAATCTGCATATTTAACAGGTTACACAGGTGGTTTTCATAATCTAAGTCTGAATAAACGACCACAGATGAAAGTCATGCTGACAGTAAGAGACCCTATTAACCCATTAACCCCACGCAGGAGCCACAAACGGCCAAGGCTGGTGAGTCATAAGCAGCACCTCCAGGTGAGCCAGGAATGCCAGGCCCAGGGGGGAAAGGTTGCTCGTGCAGCTGAAGCTGGAGCGGGCCCTCCCAGGGCTTTTTTTTTTTCCCTTAAGATTCATTTATTTTTGTTGGAAAAGCAGATGTACAGAGAAGATGAGAGAGAAGATCTTCCATCCGATGGTTCACTCCCCAAGTGATTGCAATGGCTGGAGCTGAGCAAACCAAAGCCAGGAGTGCAGAGCTCTTCTAAGTCTCCCACGTGGGTGCAGGGTCCCAAGGCTTTGGGCCGTCCTTGACCGCTTTCCCAGGCCACAAGCAGCGAGCTGGATGGGAAGTAACGCTGCCGGGATTAGAACCGGCGCTCTAACGGGATCCTGGCGCGTTCAAGGCGAGGACTTCAGCCGCTGGGCTTTCACGCCGGACGCCCTCCCAGTTCTTAGCACCACTCTGCTCACGGCCCTGGTCCGCCACTCTTCACTGCCTGACTGCCTGAAAGCTCGGGTGGGTCTCCAGCTGCGTTTAGAACCCCGAGGAGAACGGGAGGCGAGGCCGACTCACCTCCTCCCCAAGTACACAGCTCTCACCCGGCGGTCCCGGCCCGGGCACCTGCCCCGCGGCTACTCACCCAGATTGGACAGCCTTTTCAACAAGCCGGCTTCTCGAACGGCGGTGGGTCCGTCCTCCACTCCTGGTCGTTTCTGTCATACAAATGACACAGTTAAATGGGAGGGAAGACTATGAGGGAGAGAGGGACCAAAATAAATAAATAAACAAAAGTTCAGTTGCCCTCAGTGAGGAAGTCTCCGGTGCTGCGCCCCGCTCCCAGCCTGGCGGCATCCGCTTCGCGCTCAGCACGCTCGCCGGAGAGACGGGAGGCACACAGAGCCCTGCTTCCCACCCGCCCTCCGGGCACCATCGCAGGTCTCCCTCGTCAAGCAGCCCCTCACGAGAGCGCGCGCGAAGCCTCCAGCCCCCGGGAGCTCTCCGCGGACTCGCCCTCGGAGGGCTCCGGCCGGCGTCCCCTCCATCACCCGCCGCACGCTGCCCCGTCCTCCTCATCCTCTCTCCGGGAGCCCTACCTGCTCGCCCAACACCCAATCTCCGAGCCCGCCTGCTTTCCTCTCCCACCCACCGGCCATCCCTCCTTCTCCCGCGACCCCGGTTCTCCGTTCCCCTCCATCACCACCAGGTCCGGGACAGGGAGCAAGGGGGTGTCTCTCACCTGTCCCTGCGAGAACCGGGCTCCTATCACAGCCACGGAGTGGACGGATTTCGTCAGGACCCAACGCACCTGCGTCCGCAGCAGACGCGAGACGCTGCTCCTGAAGGACATGGTGGATAGGCTCGCGGGGGACCCCGAGGCGCCACCGGCTCCGCGCGGCACGCAGCCCCGAGTGAGACCTGAGCGAGCCGAGCCGCGCTTACCTAGAGGCGGGGGCCGTTCCGTGACGTCACCGCACCGCCCCTTCCCTCGGACACGCCCCGATGGCGTCACCTGACACCAACCAGGCGGATACCCAGCTCTGACCAACGGGAGCACGCTGAGCGACAGGTGTGTCTCCACGCGGTACCAAGCTCTTCGAGGCAACAGTCTCTCTAATCGTGGCGTTTCACATGAACTCTCCTTCGGGGGATGCCAGATCTGCCCCCAAGAGCTGCCGGGCCTAGACAAAGCCAGGACCATCTGCTCCTTTCCATCTCTAAGCTCAAAGTCCGGAAAACGCGCTTAACTCGGGGCGTGGAAACCTGAGAGATTACAGCGCTCTGGGCTGGCAAGTTCATGAAGATCCACCTGCCTTGGATATTTTGCCTAGGGAGGATTGGGATTTCCAAAGCAATTACCTTCTAGATATTTTTAATTATATACTTGAATATCAGCAGGATTGGCTACTACAAACCCAAAACAGCAACATCTTGGGATTCTTTGAGACTTTGGAAAGGACCAAGGGCTGAAAGAACCAACTAACTAAAGATTTTAACAACATGTCTTTCTCTTAGAATTATTTTTTTAAATGTTTCATTACCATGCAATATTTGTCCCTTTGCATGGGATACAGTGAAATATTTCAGCACAAAGTGTTAACCAATGAAGCCAGGAAATGAACCTTTAACAGTGTTTTAATAATAGCTAATGGAAGTTCTAGGACCATGGGGTCAGCGCCATGGCACGGTAGGCTGGCCTTCTGCCCAGGCTGTCAGCAGCCTATATGCATGCTGGTTCCAATCCTAGGAGCTACATTTGTGATCCAGCTCCCTGCTTGTGGCCTGGGAAAGCAGTTGAGGACGGCCCAAACTGTAGGAGGACATTGTGACCCTGGAAGGGCAGCAAGCACAGGATTGCAGTTCACTGGATAGTATTTGCATGAGAACAACCAAATGGCTAGGGGAGATAATTTGTATAAGTTGAGTAAACAGCATGTAAATGAGAACACCTGATAGAATATACAAAACAAAAGGAATTCCAACCCAGAGTACTAAAACAGTAGATGGGTGTGTTGATGAGCTCAATACTCCCTCCCTTATCCTATACAGATTCTCAGTGTACAAAGTCTGATGCCCCTAAAAACTTCGGCTTTGACCATCAGAGTCCACGCGTGTTATTGTCGGCTCCGTGCACCAAGTCCATCGCTGCGGGACAGCGACACCAAACCCTTGCTGGAAACCTAGAAGAAGCTCCTGGCTTTGTATCAGCCTCGCTCCGTTGGTTGTGTCCACCTAGGGAGTGAACCAGTGAAATGAAACTCTTTCTGTCTCTCCTTCTCTCTGTAAATCTGCTTTCCAATAAAAACAAATCTTTAAAAGTAAAGTAAAATAAAATTTGGTTTGCACAAAAAATAAGCTTATTTTGAAGTACCTTCATGACCAGTTAGGTTTCTATTTCTTTTTTGTCTAGTTTCTTTTTCTCCCCATGGATTATTTTTCCTTACTTGAAATAATTATAGCAATTCCCCACTTAGCCACCAGAGATATGGTCCAAGATCCCCAGAGGGATTGTTTTGTGTGACACAAACACCTTGATAAAGGAATGAGGACACAGGGCAGGCACCGCGGCACAAGCAGGTTAACCCATCCCTTGGCATGCCAGTTTGAGTCCTTGCTGCTCTGTTTCTGATCCAGCTTCCTGCTGATGCATCGTAGCAGACAACTGCCGATGGCTCAGGTGCTTGAGTCCCTCCAGCCCCGTGGCAGACCTGACGGGCTTCCAGGCCCCTGGCTTTGCCGTGGTCTGCTGTGTGGGCATCTGGGAAGTGAATGGGCAGATGCAGAGTCCCTGTTTCTATATCTTCCTCTTTTTCTAGGTTACTCTGCCTTTCAAATACAAGGAAAAGAAATGAAGGCCCAAACAAATAGGTAAATCTAAGTGACAAGCAGGGAGAAATGTGATTAGAGGGTATGATGGAATGGCAGTGAGTTGTGAGTGGCTGGGCAACTTCACAATGCTCTTTGTTCAGATTCTGCTCAGTGTCCCTGGGTCTTCTGAGCCAGCGATGCTCCTGTCCTCGGGTGTAAGGAGGGCAGCTCTCAGAGGAGGATCTTTAGACTTGTGTGGGGAGGTGGGAAGGGAGAGTGATCTTCCTTCCACTTTTGCTTTCTTCAGTGCTTAGCTGCCATGTTCCAAATGTTGTATCATGATCTAATACTATTAGCTTTGTAAAATGACAGTACAAAGTCTTTTTTTCTTTTTGATAGACTTTCTTTTCATTGGAAAGTCATATTTACAGAGAGAAGGAGACAGAAAGATCATCATTCCGTTGGTTTTACTCCCCAAGTGGCTGCAACAGCCAAACTGAGCTAATCTAAAGCCAGGAGCCTGGAGCCTCTTCCAGGTCTCCCATGTTGGTGCAGGGTCCCAAGGCTTGGTCCCACCCTCTACTGTTTCGCAGGGCACAGGCAGGGAGCTGGAAGGGAGGTGGAGCAGCTGGGATAACAACCGGTGCCCATATGGGATCCCAATGTGTGCAAGGTGAGGACTTTAGCCACTAGGCTACTGTGCCAGCCTTGATAGTACAAAGTCTTTAGAAAAATGCAAAGTGTTGGCACAACTGTACATTTCTAATGGCCAAATGGTGTACACTAGTGGGGCTTACAGGACAGCACACCCAGAGTGCGGTGACTGGATGGGTATCTTGAATAGTAAGAGAATGGAAGACCTTGGGCTGCGGTGGAGGGAACATCTTCACAAGCATCTCTCCTGTTCTCTGCCTCCTGCTCCTCTAGTCCTCCCTGCTGTATTTTGGAATTAGGTTGAGTGTCTCCTGAGGGTCTGTGTGTTCCAGGCTTGGTCCCCAGGGTGGTGGTGTTGAAGCAGATGTGCACCCAGTGGGAGGCTCCTGTGCCACTGAGGGAATGGCCCTTGGGAGAGCTGAGTCTTTTCTCTTGTGACCCCTCGGCAGAGGATTACTATGCAAGGATCAAACCTGGTCCCTCCCTCTTTCTCTGCTTTCTGGCTGGAGATGTGGCTACTTGCTCCAGCATGTTCTCCTGCTATTGCTATCTGCCACCTCCCATGGAGCTCTCACCCTCGCTGACTTGTTGCAGGCACCATGCCCCTGAGTCTCCAAACTGTGAGCTAACTGAACCTCTTTTCTTCATAAATAGCTGGGGCTAATCCTCAGCCTGTGGCACCAGCATCCTACATAGGCACCAGTTTGTATCTGGCAGTTCCACTTCCAATTAAGCTCCCTAATGACCTGGGAAAGCACTGGAGGATGGTTCAAGGCCTTGTGTCTCTGCACCCGCGTGGCAGACTCAGAAGAAGCTCCTGGTATCCACCTTCAAGCTGGCTGTGGAGGTCATATAAGGGAGTGAACCAGCAGATGGAAAATCTCTCTTTCCCTATTACTCTTTCAAGTAAAATAATAAAAGCTATATCTTGCAAGCTGGCATCCCTTCTGGATTCAAGTCTCAGAGACTCCTCTTCTGGACCAGTTCCCTGACGTGTATGGGAAGCAGCAGCAGATGACCCGAGTGCTTGGATTCCTACACATGTGGGAGACCAGGAGAAAGCTCCTGGTTCCTGGCTATTGGCAAGGAGCCAACTAGGAAGTAAACCAGCACCCATGTGGGGTGTAAGTGCCGCAGACTCCAGCTTTACCCACTGCCCTATAAGACCAGCCCCAGTTTCTTTAACAAAAGATAATGACAGCTATTAGCTGCTTTTCTCCCAGTACTGTGACCCTTGCCTAGGCGCAATACAACCTAGGCCATTGTGGATTTTGTGGTTGTTACCCACAGCTGGGGGAATAAATTTTATAGACATCATCACCATCATCATGATAGCTGAATTTTCCTCAAATTTCACAAGATAAAATTTTATTAATTTCAAAAGTAGATTGGCACTGAAGGAGAGGAAGAAAAACCAGAGAGAGAGAATTCCCATCCACTGGTTCACTCCCCAAATGGCCCCAATGGCCTAGGCTAGAACAGTCCACAGCCAGGAGCTACCTCCATGTCTCCCATGTGAGTGCAGGAATCCAAGCACTTGGGCCATCTTTCACTGCTTTCCCAAGTTATCAGCAGGGAGCTAGCTGGTACGGAATTGGAAGATCTCTCTTTCTGCCTCTCCTTTACTTTGTAACTCTTTCAGATAAAAAAAAATAAAAATCTTAAAAGAAAGAAAGGATTTTGAATAGTGGGTGTTATGGCATAGCAGGTGAGGCTGCTGCCTATAACACTGGCATCCCATATAGGCACTGGTTTGAGTCCACTTTCCTTTTACCTCCCAGCTAATGTACCTGGGAAAAATAATGGAAGAGAGTGCAAGTGCTTGGCTCCCTTTATCTACACTGGAGACCTGGAAGAAGCGCCTAGCTTTTGCCTGATCCTGTCATAGCCATCTGGAGAATGAACCAGCAGACACGAGCTACCTCTCTTGTCTATCTCTGTGTAACTCTGACTGCCAAATTAACAAACTTTAAAAAAAAAGGATTTAAAAAATTGTGAAAATTAAAGACAAAAATGAATATTGAAAGCAGTGATAAAGAAGCAATGTTTACCACGGGCACATGCTGTCTGGGCATGCTGGAGCGTGCTGGCACCATGCCAGGCTGGTTGGGGGTAGGGATTGCCTGCAGATTGCATAGAGAAGGGGGCCACCAAAGAAGCATACAACAACAGTGTGGAATGACTTCTGGGGATTTCCACTGACCAGGCCACTACATTCGCAGGTAATTAAGGGAGCCGAGACAGGGTGGTTCAGAAAGCAGAATCTGGAGAGCATGTCTGTGTCGGGCCAAGGCACCTGCCCACACAGGAGAGCTGCGCTGAATTAAGTCACATCGCCTGCCAGTGCATGCAGAATCCAGGGCTGGAAGGCAGGCTGGGGAGGTCTAGGCC